GATGCAAGGCCGGAAACCCCGGGGAATGGAACTGATCTCCTACATCCTGACCAAGTGCTCCAATCACTGGGTAAAAAGCAAGGAACCATTAACTTCTGCTGCCACAGTACCCCGAAAAGGCTGAAGGCAGAACTGACACAAATCTTAATCAAAATAGGTACTGCACACCAGCACCAAGAGAACGTTGATTTATGTTCTTCGCTTTAACGTTTTTCTTAAAGAATTATTAATGTATTAGTAAATACAGGCTTTGCACTGAAGAGAGATTTTTTTTTCCCTTCTGTTAATCAGAGTCATTATACACATGTACATTCAAGTAGTAAACTCCACCTAATCCCATGCTCTTTGCTTTATTTGTCTTCCAGCCCAGTGCTGTAGACAGTGCCCCGTCTGCAGCACACACAGCCTGAGACAGCAAAAGCTCCGGGGAGGATAACAAACAACTCAAGTGAGACCGGTACTGAAAGACAAACACGAACCACAAACGTGATACTCGCAAATTTACCCAGGTTTAAGTCACTTTTCTGATGCCAGACACTCAGGCACATTCATACAATGACATCCTTGTTCTCAGGAGGCTCCTAACAATCGTTAAAATGGAATGTGGCCGTAATTTCAGTTCCTGAAAAATGGGAGATTAAAGGCCAAACCCCATGTTTGTATGCCAAGATTTCATGACAGATTTTTGACAGCAGCACAACAGAATCTCATCTGTGTGCTTTGCAATCTGTTGCCTATGAAGTGCAGTATTTTAAAAGCCAGGTGAATGATTTGTTTTCTGTTGTAAACTGCCTCCCATCCTCAAAACACCTTCAGTAGTCAGTAAAGGTGGCCCAACCTAAACTGAACAAACAAGTAAAAAATCTTGAATGCAAAAAATTATTTCACTAGTGCTTGACAAGTTCTGTCAACAAGCTGTAGTTCCTCTTACTCCCTGCCCTCCCACATACACATCTAATCCAGCCAACTAAGACTTAAAAGCACCACCTCGGTCTTCTGGAAGAGACTGCATTTTAATTCATGACAGCAGCATGTTAAATGCCTAATTGCAATGAAAGCAAATTCTCAGACCTCTGAATCCAGCAAGACTTCTAACAGCAACTGATTTGAATTCTCCCAGGAGCAAAGACAGCATTGTACATTTACACTTATTCCAAAACCCAGTAGTTTTATTGATTACTCTGACACATCATTAGATTTAATTTCCACGCCCTTTGCATTACGTAGAGGAGCTTCTAAATATATCACCATTTCACTCATGAAACATTTGATGGGTAATACAAGAATCACTGTACTGATTATAACATTTAAGAGGGAGTTCAGTTGTTTTTAAGATCAGTGACTCAATACAGTGCCTTCCTTTTTTTTCTTAGCTCACCCTCCCAGTCCATCTCCTAATCATCACCCTGACAGGGCACGCACACGCTGCAATCCATATTGCTCTTAGACAACACTCTGGAAAAGGAAATAATAAAAATGCATTCAGTTTTGGTGTAGAAATCTCCTTCTCCTTCCCTCTTCACAAATGAAGGAAGCTGTGAAAATCTTTTGTGCATTCAAAGGGCAAAAAAAGAACAAAGCAATCTCTATTGCCAGACTGGGCAACAGTAAAAAGGGAGGGGGTGTTACATCAGGCCTTGAAAAACACTGAACACCTACTGACTGAAGATAAACAAGATATGAACACTGCTGTGCCCTCTCCATAGGCTCCAGCACAAAAATTTCACCACAAAGTGCTAGAAATTGAGGAAAGACCAAGTATTTCACAAAGTAACAATCCAAGTCCTGCTGCTCATCTGCTGTAACACTTCCAAAAGCTCAGTGCCTGAAGATAAATTTCTTGGTATTTGTTGCTCTCTTACACACATCAGTATACATCGGTGATGGGCAAACAGCTCTTCCCATATTTATTCCCCCCTCTGCTGCCACAGGAACTTTTGTCACTACCCAGTCCCATTTCCTTGCTGGAATACAGACAGGAAGCGAGGGGAAAATGGGTATTCCACAACCTCTTTCCTCTCACAGTCCATTCCACTGGTAGGGAATTAATTTCAGCTCCCATTTAATGCAGAAAATCATGAACACCTTTCTGATGCAGCAGCGCTTGTGGATCTGAGCAACAGCAGGATCAGACACAGCTCTCCCTTCCTTCCATTGCTGCAGGAACTTGACAAAGAAAGTTTCTCTACTCACTACTGACAAGCATTTTAAAAAAAAAAAAAAGTGCACACCCTTTGAAAGAGCATTTCCATCTGGCACTTATCCCACATTTCACATTAAAATTAGTTTTTCCAGGATGACAGTATTCATTTTCTCCCGCAAAATTCTCAGTAGAGACTCCTTTCAAAGATAACACACCTCTATCTGAAATACTGGTTCAGCAAGACTATTTAAGACATTCAAAACCAACCAAATAAAACTACATATGGTTATAGGTGTGGGCATTACTGAAGAAAAAAAGAAGTTGTTGGAAGAAATAACTTACAAGAACAGTGACAAACTGTATTTAAAACTATGAAAGAGATGGGGGAAAAGTGTAGGTTTTCTTCTTAAAATATCTTAATAAAAGAAAGTAATTGCAATCAGTTCCACTTGGTAATTAAAAGAAAAATATAAACCTACCTTAAAATCTCAGATTTATATTTAACGAAACAATAAATACAGAAAAATGAGAATTAGTTCTCATCTCTTCAAAACAACACAATTAACGAGATGTCAGTCACTGAGAAAAGCCCCATTTTGTGTGTTTGCCAATGCCCAGTAATTACAGCTGGCAAGTCCATTTTTTCAAGGTATTTCTAACACAACTGAGACAATTTTTTAAAAACAGTCAAACCCACAATAAACCTTTATCATTTTATGAAGCTCCAATGATTCAACAACACATGTTGAGAGTTATGCACAGAAAGGAGTAATCAAGCCTTACATGCCTGGACAAAAGGGAAGCACTACTGTGGCCAGGAACCAATTTACATCCATGCAAAGACAGAGGTGTGAAAGGATTTTTCTTCATGCCAAATTCTGTATTTTCAGATATGAAATGAGGTGTGTGCAGAGCAGCTGGACACTGCACCACGAACACACCTGTGCTTGGAGAGCCACCTTCGCAACACAGAGAAAGGCCCAGGTCTGGCACACGGACAGGACGGGATCGGCCAACTTCCAAACTGGACACCTGCTCACTCCTGGGCACAACTCTGCTGCACCACTCAGGTCACAAAAGGCACATTTTTCCTAAAAGCACTAAAGCACTGGCCAATTTTATGCAGAGCTGCATTACCGTAATTAAAAATAAACCACGGCAAGACTGTTGCTCGAAGTGTAAGTAATGAAACATCCACAGGGAAGAGAGCAGCACTCCTGAGTCTGGAACTGGATTTTCTCTCTGTCCATAGCTCCCAATGCAAAGTGACAGAAACCTCAAATACATGAGGACATGAGTGAATAGAGACACAAAATCACAGTGTTTTGAGCCTCACGTCCTTGTTCTGTTACAACCTCAGTACTGTAAGAAAGAACTTCCACTCTTGAGACCCACCTGGGAAACAGTGAGGAACAACTTAAATCCCAACTTCATTCCCCTATAATATGCAACCTAAAGAAGAGTAAATCCTCCCCCCAGCCTCTGTTAAAAACTTTCCCTTTAGATTATTACCATGGCAAAGACTCTCATTCAGAAAAGCAAAGGAGTTCACGATCAAAATAACATACAACTGACATTTCCTTCCATTGACTTCTTTAAAGAAAGTTGAAAATTCCAGGGTAGTTATGCATCTATAATTTCATTCTGCGATTAAAACACACTGACAACAGTTCACTAGACATATTTAATTGAACTACATTAAACTGCCTAAATCTGTAACCACATTCATTTACCATAACAACACTCAGTCAATCCTGTAAGTCAGAAGAGTTGTCTTTTTGCTGCTGTTTTAAAGCAGAGCACACCACTGCCTGAATTGGGCTTGTGACACAAAATAACATCATCTAAAAGGCAGAAGACCAGTGCAAATATTGGTTCTTGACAGAGAAGTGACAGAAGAGAGAAGAAGGGGTTTGCCAAAGTCTCAACATGTGGCAGAACAGAAATCTCCATTGGGTTGCAAGTTTTGAAAAAGTAATGGGAAAGATTTCCAGGATCATTCAGATAGGAGTATTACTTCTCCACATACAGCACACACCAAGGTCAAAAGCTGTGACTGAACTCCTTTTTTTTCCCACAAATCTAAGAAACAATCCAGTGATATCTGGATGATATCACTAGATTTAAAATGCAGGGTGAGTATCACAAACTGCTGCAGTGGTCAGGTCAATAGAGCTGATACACAGGTAAATTATTTGAGATATTCTGGTCGTTATCCATGACAGCACAAAAAACCAAGAATTATACGAAGAAGCTGCACCCCGTCTCTCTGATCCAGTGCCAGCTAGGCCCAAGACAGTGTCAGGACATTGAAAAAAAATGCCCTCTCATTTGCTACACTTCATGTCTTCCCACAGGAACTGGTCTCTTCCTCCTCGTTCTATTTCCTGTACACAGCCCGAGCCCATTGTCACCAGGTGCAAACACACACACACACACACCCCGACTCACCAGCCTGCGCTGGCCCCGATCTCGCCGTGGGCAGAGGTGACCTGCAGCCTCTCAGCCTCACCGAGGTGCTGCCCCTGCCCGGGCCCGGCGGATCGCAGAGCTCGGCTCACACGGAGCTCCCCGGGACAGCGGGTGTCAGACCCGCCGGGGCTCCAGCGCTGCCGTCCCGCTGCCGGCGGGGGGATCCGCGCAGCGCGGCCGCCCCGTCCCTCCTCCCTCGCCCCTAATCCCTCCTCCTCCGCCGCGCTGAGCCCTCAGCCCGCAGCCCCTCCGCCGCTGGGTGCTCGATGCCCGGCCCCCCCGCAGCCTCCGCCGCCGGCGCCCCCCGCCCCGCCCGGGACCCCCTCCCCGCCCGGCCCCGTTCGGCCCGGCCCGGCCCCCGCCGCGGCCTCGGTCCCGCGCTCACCAGGAGTAGGTCTGCTCCGCCATGGCTGCGGCCGGCGCTGGGCTCTGCGGGGCGGCCGGGCCGGGGCTCCTCCTCCGCCTCCTCCTCCGCCTCCTCCTCGCAGGCTCCCGGGGCTCAGTGGCGGCCCCGCTGCGGCTCCCGGCCCAACATGGCGGCGGCTGTGAGGAGGGAGGGGAGCCGAGGGGGGGTCCCCGCGCGGGCGGGGAGGGCGATGGTGGCGGCGGGGCGGGCGGGGGCTCAGCAGCCGCGACGCGGGGCCGCGCTGGGGCGCCGGCGGGGCCTCATGGCCGGCGGGGCGGCGGCGGCGGCGGCGGCGGCGGCGCGGGGCGGGGCGGGGCGGGAGGCGGCGGCACCGGGCGGCCGGGCCAGGCCGCGCCGCGTGCCCGCGCTCGCGCACGGTGGGGGCGGGGCCGCGCCGGGGTGGGAGGGGCAACGAGGGGGCGGGGCCCGGGCCGCGCGCGGGGGATCACGTGCCCACAACACCCTCACGTGCCGCCGCCGGCCGCGCGCAGGCGCCGTGGGACGGGACAGAGGAGCAGAGGGAGGCGGCGGGGCGGGAGGGGCGCGTTGGTTGTCGGGCCCGCCCGCGCCGCTGCCGCTTCTCGGGGTGAGCCCCTCGGGCGGGCGGGTTCGCTGCGGGCACCGGGACCCGCGGGGGCACCGGGTGGGAGCGACGGAGCTCCCTCCGGCAGAAAGGCAGCGCGGAAAGCGGGTGGGTTTTGAGGCTGGGGGCTTCCCCGGGCTTGCGGCGGGAAGCCGCGATGCCCGAGGTGATGCCCGCGGTTACTCCCGAGCCGGCGTCTCCTTTCCCGCAGCGGGCACCGGAGAAGCTGCTCCCCGCGACCCCCCGGCCCAGGGTCAGCTCCCCCGGGCTGGCGGGGCTGTCTCGGCTCCGTCCCGGTGGCCGGGGGTGACCCCGCTCCCTCGGGGTACCGGGCTCCTCCCGCCCGATTCCCGCATCCCGCAGGAGCCCGTGACCTCCCGAGGGCTTTGTGGGGTTCCTCTGAAGGAGGGTGAGGTTGTAAATGCCATTCAGGTAAGGCAGTTCATACACGCCGGCGGTTTAATTTATTAAATTCACAGGTATTTCTGGAGATTGCCGTGTTTTTGAATTTGTGATCTTGGAAACCAAATAAAACCGGTAGGATGAGATGCTCGAGGTGGGTTTTTAAGGAAGGAAAATAACGTTCCATGTGCTTTGACCAAATAAACATTACATGCTCTGTGTTATCACCAGCCTTGTATCAAACCCTGCACAAGTCCCAGGCAGGGGAACTCCTACATTTACACTGATCTTTCTCCCCTCCCTGGTTTCTGCTGCCGAACCCTCCGTCCTTCCTTGTTTCTGCCAAATGCAGAAGTGGCGTGTTCTGCTCCCACCTCCTGGGAGTTCGCTTGCAGCAGTTTGTGCAAGTGGGGCTTTGTGGAGTTTGGATCAGTTGTCCCAGTCCAGCTGTGCATTCCCATTCATTGTTCCTTCCAGCGTGGGAGGGACAAGAGCTAGTTTGAACATACAGTTGGACATGACGTAACTGCATGGAATATAAATAGAAGAACAATGGGTCTGGTAAAAATAGGCATTTGTTTTAAAAAAAAAAAAGTATGGAGAAATTCTATGCTTTAAGAGAATTTTCCTACAATCTTCAGAGAATTAATGGGATATTGGGACATTCTCATTGCACCTGCATGGATGCCAGATGCAATTTAGAGCCCACTGTAGTTTATTTCTGTTAGTGGATTGAATAAATTAATTTCATTCTGTCCATCTCATTTATTCTCTTAAATGGAAAAATCTTAGCAGGGTGTGTGGTCGTGACAGGATTAAAAATAAAGAATATCTCATTTCACCTCTGTTCTATCAGCAGCTGCTGTGTAGTCCTGGGTGGATCCCTTCATCCTTGCTAGCTCAGCTCCTGCATCAATGCAGAGGAAACTGCAACACGTTGCAGCCACCTGAAGTTCTGGGATGCAGCAGCAGGAGGTTGCTGCATGTGCAACACAGGTTCTCTTGGTCTTGGTGGAGGTGACGCCTGGGATTCTTCTGTCCTAGTTAAACAGTGCTTTCATTAAGATGGTGCTGGACTCTGAAGGCTTCTCCCCCTGTATTTTGTGCTTCGAAAACAAGTGATTTGGGTTGTGTCACTTCAGCATCCAAACCCTCTGATTTTCACAGCCCTTTGGCCTTGTGGACAGGGACGACCTTAGCATTCCTGACATAATCAACACTTTACCCACTTACCAACATCTGTTTGAGAATGGGATTTATCAGCTGTGAGGTGGAAACACTCCAAGTACTGTGACTGGCCAGCTCATGGACTCCCTGCTGGGGTCAGTCCTGGCAGGTGGGTGTGCTGGAAGGACGGGAGGGTGAGGAATGCTAACGTTCCCTCTCATCCAGCTCAGGCTGGACTACCTTGCAAAACTTCCTCCCCTATTTGATCTTTGCCCCTCCTCTTATACCCCACACACAGTCCCTGTGCCCAGCTCAGTGGACACAGAGCTTTGGTGGATGTGGTGCAAGGAGAGGAGGAGCCATGCTCAGCACCTGGAGCTCTGGGTACACAGACAAGTCAGGCCATTTTGGAGGAAAGTCTGGAGTTCCCACATACACACAAAAGGTAAAAGATACTCAGGCTCTGGGTAGGACTTGCACAACAGAGAACTTCCCTGCTTTTGTTCTCCCTCAGCACAGCAGGAAAATCTACAGGAACACTTAGATAATGACCAAATAATTTGGAATCCTCCCTGCTGTGGTGGAAACCCAAGTGTCTGGAATGTCTGTGCTACCCTTTTCATTGATTATAACACAGTAAATGTAAGAGGAAAAAAAGAACCTCTCTGTCCTTTTAAATCACTGCAGGGAAAGATAAATCAGGGCTTCAGCCTTGTCTTGGCACTAAAGAGCCTTCCTCAATTTTTTTTTTCCCTGAGAATTGGATGTTAAACTGATATTGGTATCTATGAAACAATATCCCTGCTTTGTGTCCTTATTGAAGTAGCTTCCAGTTTCTCAGTCTTGCAAAATTTCCAGCACATTAATTTGGCACAAATGATTTATAGCTGATGAGCAATTAAAGTACAATTTCTTTCAGCATCTCAGGCTTTGTGACTAGACTACTAAATGACTTTTCAAGCTTGCTTTATCATTACAGGATAGCAGTGGGATGAATTCACAGGAGAAATTTATTCCTCCTTGCAGACCCAGCATCTGCTCTTACTGCAAATTGGAGCACTGCTTGCATTCCCCAGATAATTTCCTCAGCATATCTTTTGTACAGTCTTTCTTTGGACCTACAAGAGAGCTTTACTCTGAATTTCAGTGACAGTTTACTCTGACATTACAAAGTCCTTCCAAAATACCTGTTCTGTCTGGAACCTTTGATGTAGGCTGATGCTCTGCTTAGACCTGTCAAGGTATTTCAAAACTAGGAGCAAACAAAACCTTTTTTTTTTTAATTTTTATATTTGGAAGGTTAGCTCCCAGAGGCAAGTGTGGTGGAGAAAAATCAGATGAAAGTACTGGCTACAAAGAGTCCTCACCTCCAAGTTGTTTAAATGTCAGAGGATGACATTTAGCTAACCATGTCTTGATTCTGCTCTAATGGAGGTGGAAAGAACCAGAGTAGCTTCATGTAGACACTTCACCTTTCAGGAAAGGACATGACAGGTAGAGTTGTCAACCCTGCTTGGTTTTGGGAGGAACAAATAGCATGGAAATGAGCAGAAAGGGAAGGCAAAAAAAATAAAAATCAAGAGATCCAGTTCTGACTGTACAGCTGGGAGCTACGCTGGGCTATTTGCTTGTAGGACCCTTGATAAACACAATTAAAACTGCAGTGACCATACATGTGACAGGATTCTCTTCACTACCACCTAGTGGGAAACTCCTTCATAACCCAACTCCAGAGCTGCTCCTGCTCTCCAGCCTCATCCTGATGGTAAAACAGGGAATAAATGTGGGGGGGAACCGATGGGTGACTGGGAAGGAGGACAGTCCTGCTTCCCCATACAGGTGGAGGAATATGTAGAGAGAGCCTGTAATTTAAACCCGTTATCTCACTATGACTCCAAGCTCTGCGTCCAGCCCAGTTCCTAATGGTTGTTACACCTTCCTTAGTTTCAGTGAGACTCCCAAAGTTTAACAAATGTAAAGAGTAAAATATTTGTCCTTCTAAATGCAACTGAAACCTGCAAACAGTGGCAAGCAGAAACCCGGGGAGTTCCTCCAGTGTCTCAGTCAAAGGTAGCCTTGCACCTTCTTGGCTCTGGAAGCTTTGGTTGCACTATTAAAAGTATGGAAGGAGGCACCAATGAAAAAAACCAGCTTCCTTCTGTGTAAAATCACATTTTTCAGTTACAATCGCATGCTTACAACAAAAACTACTAAATTGGAACGTAAATGGGTATATACTTGAAACATTAAAACCGTGTATTTGAGCGAGTCCTTCCCCGCTGGGACACTCGGGGTTTGCACAAATCGCTGAAATCCAACCCCACGAAAACAACACAGAAATGACAATTATCTCAGATTTTTCACACTCCTGTTTGCCTTTTGGGACTGAGCTCCCAAAGCACAAATAATCACCAGTTTTGGTACTTGTGTAGCTTTCTTCCCCCCAATAACAGAAATGAGGGTGAACATTATCATAATAGCTCTCACATTTCAAGGAGGGGATTATGTTAATGTCATTCAGGCCAGTAAAGCATTTAGCAGTCTCAGCAGGAAGAACATTAAAATGGTAAAGAATTATTAATAGAACCGTTTCTCTGTGTTTCTTTTGCCAATGGCAATTTTACCACCCTATTCAGGGAACTACACAGGCTCCCTCTGGAAGCACTTCTATCATAAATACATTTAGGTTTTTTCCCTTCTCTGTATTCTCCTTGAAGCCACATTACACTGGCTTTATCCCAGCAAATTACTGTATTTTTCATCATGTACACTTAATAGTAGATATTATTCAGTAAATTAAAACATCAGAGGTAAAAATGGTGTTGATACAAGAAGCCAGGCACTGGGAGCCTGTTGTGCCTTCCATGCTGTTCACAGCACTCTCCTGTCCCTTACTGGGGCTTTGCCCAAGTGCAATAACCAGAATACAGACCAGTAAGAGTAAAATATAAGAGTAATGTTCCTATTGTGTATCCATTATACTTTCATACAGTTGTTTTCAGTGTTAGTAAGTAATCTATTTAATTAGTAATTCAATATTACATGTAAGGCAGAAGGGATTAATTTGGAACACTTAATCAAGGCAGACTATTATTTACCAATAAAATAGAATTTCATTAGAGGAGCTCATGACATCCTTGCCTAGAAGGATATTGGAGAATGCTGGGAAGCTAGTTTTGTAAAATAGCTGTCACTGTATTTTCACACTGTCTGCTACTTCAGGAGAAGAAAATAATTTTTTAAAAATGCATTGGAGTTATATTCAAGTGTAGTAGGAGAAAACAAAGTGTTGAACATGTTTAAATAATCTTTATTAAACTTGCCATTAAAATAAAATAGAAATCAGACTTCTTGTGATTACTGATATATTTTTCCAATCTGCATCCAAACTGATTTGTTAATGTAACATTGTTTGTGAGCTTGCTATTAAACTGACCAGATTAGTGCTGTAAAGCTGCTTATGTCTTGTCAAGAAACACTGAATTTGAGGGGTCTCAACCACCAGATTAATTACACCTAAGGAAAAACATTCTGCAGGGGAAAAAATACAGAACCAAATACTGCAAACATGAGGAAAACAAGCAGGTCTCACTCGGTGTCTCTGAATTTTAAAAGTCTCCACTTGCACATTACCAAGATCACATTAATCAGAGTGACCTGAGGATCAAGCCATGGCCTGGGAAATTGCTACAATTCAGGAAATCAACATATCCTAAGCACTGGTAACAGATGAAGATGGGTTAGCAAACCCGAGACCCCTTATTTCAAATATTCATTCTCAAGGCACAACCCTTGAGCACAATTCAGTTACAGGAGAACGTTGGATTATGGCCAGACTCTGCAACTGAGCTCTTGCTCTACTACTAGAACTAGAATCTAACTGGTAAAAGCTCTGCAGCTTCCACCCTTGGCCTCTACTGTTCTCATCACCTCACAACTGCACATCACAGCACTGGGAAATAGGATATTGCAATCCTTAGTGCCAGGGTGTAAAATAGGGATACTGGCTAATTTGCAGCAGGAATCCCTTCCATTCCTTAAATCTGTAACATTTAAGAAACACTGAAAAGCTCACTGGTTTTCCTGCACTGAAGAATCTGAAATACTTAAAGGAGTGCTGAACTATTCAGTGGCACAGCCTGGCAGGTCCCAGTCAATGGCAAGATCAAAGTGGGTAAGTTTGCTGGTTCTTTTGCTTATTCCCCAGGGTCCTGCAGTTTAAAATGGACAATTCTAACAGACCAAGGGAAAAAACCCTTCAGGATAAGGTGACAGAGAATATTTACCTCCTCCTTAGTATTTGAAAGGTTTCCATATTCAGTTCTCCACGTGGCATCCAGTGGTAGCGTTCAGTGAGGTCCCAGCATAAAAACAGATGTTCACTTCTGGGTTTATAGACTTCAAAGTTCACTGGTTTCAAAAAAAAGCCTCTGCAGCTGAAGGTCTCCAAGGCAAGCAGAAGCAGCAGCATCAGGACTTCTGTGTGTATAAGGAATCCTTGAAACCACACAATATAGACAGATAATTTGTTGCTGTGCTTTCTTCTCTTTACAACTTCCACTGACAAATATTGCTGTTCTTTGTTTAAACTTAATGGTCTGTGTCCCCATTTCCCCTCCAGCATTCAACAGGTTTATATACTTACAGAATATAGATTGGGCAATCTTTTAAACAGAACACTGCTAATATTTTCCCATCTTAGTTTAGGTAAAAGAAATCACCATGCCAAAGAGAGGCAGAAATAAGTAACCCAGTGTGACAGTGTCTCCTCTGTCACATATTGCAAGAGCTCCACAATCTGTTGTCTCTGTTTGCAAAGTCCTTGAATTATAAGGACAGATCATGCAGAAACTATAATGTCACGGTAGGACACGGTAATTAGAATTGACAATTACAGTTATCAGCCAGTAATTGTTGGCTTGTCTAGCAGGGGCAGGGGGGAGGAATAAAGGAAAACATGATAACAAATGAAATGCATGGAAATGTGTCAAAACATTGATAGGACAGTGCCAAGCTCACCATTCATTTCTTCTCTGTTGAGAGCGTGACCAAAAATAAAATATCTAGAAGCTAAACATGTCTTTTTACATTAATGCTCATGTGAAAATTTCTTACATTACGTGTTTTTACGTGGACTCCGAACTGTTACATCTTTTTAGCCACGCAAAGAAAGTCTTCTGTGTCCATCTGAGCTTTGTTAACGCCCTGCAGGGAGGCCACGTGGTGCTCTGGGTGCAGACCATGTCTGAAATAAAAGCCAACAGTTACACCAGTCCCACCCCAGCGGGCTGTGCCTGGAGGGAGGAGGGTCCTGTCCTGCTCCTGCTGACTCAGGAGCCTGGAAAGCACGGCTGACGGTGCCCACAAAGGGAAAACAGGGGACAAGGTCCTCTGTGGCATTGTCTTGGGCCATTACCCAGTTTGGGGACAGCTGTACCAGGCTCCTGTAAGCTTAGGTTTGATGGGAGTGTGTAGACACAGGCAGCTGCCCCCAGGAAGCCTCCATTGAGACAACACCTTTAAATCCTCCAAGGAATCGCTCGCATGAGACACTCGTGCATCGAGGCCACGTGTGCACACCAAGTTATTCCCTAATTTAGCCACTCAAAGTAGATAGATTCATTCATATCATTTCAGACCAGAAAAGACAATGTAGTCATAAGAAGAGAGCTGCAGAACTGGAGAACTGCATTAAGTGACTCCAGCTGAGCCAGGGATCGTGTTTTAGGAAGTCACCCAATAGGTGGGAGCAGAACCTCAGAGCAGGACTGGTATCAAGAGGGGATGGAGGAAGATGATAAATGGGAACCACAAGCCTGCCCAGAGCACTCATAGGAAGCAGAGGGCAGTTGATGATAGGACAGGGATTCTGAGCATGAACCAACACCCAGGGCTATTCCTTATCACAGCCTTCAATCATGGGCTCAGAGGGGCAAGGCCTGCAATCCCCCGAATTATGTGGGAACACTTCTCTTGCTCATCAATTAAGCAATAAACATAGCAAGTTAAAATGAAGGTACTAGTGTTTGCATATCAAGATACCCAGCAAGCCAAAACCAGAGTGAAAAAGTCACTTAAGACTCGATGCTCTGCCACAGAATTCAGCTGGAGCTCCAGAACGTCCTGCGAGTCTTGGGAACGTTCACATAGACCCCATGGTCACACTCCTCTGCTGGGGGTGGCACAAAGGCCAGGGAAGCTGCCAGTGTGGCTTTCTCTCAGCCCAAAGGGCTCAGACTGGCTGAACTTCACCACTGCCAGAGCTCCGAGCGGGCTCTGCGATATTCCAACAGCAGCACCTTCTCCTGAACCACGCGCAGCCCAACGTGGTTCTTCGTTCACCTTCTTCCTTCTCCAAAACTATTGGGGCCAGAAGAAAGCCATGCCTCTCCATCTTCCTGGTTTTCTTTCCATAGCTCACTTTTCCATGCTGCAGACCTCCTATCCTTCATTTTCCTCGCCTGCTTCCCTCCCTTTCCCCCTCCCCCTGCTTTCTCTCCCTCTGCACTTTGTGAACTGCTGCGGCGGGTGCTGAAGTCCAAAGTTCAGTAACTTGCTAAGCACACAGATAAATATGAACCTTGGAGAATTTACATTGCTCCAATGTAAACAGATAGCCAAGGGTCCCTTTATCAGCACTGGCTCAGGACAGTCGTGGGGGGTCTGAAGTGGCTCAATTTTGTATTTTGTTTTTTTTGGGGGGGCGCAAAGGCGGGAGGCTGCGCTGTGCCCACTCTCCTGACAGTCGGGCGTGTTACCTCAGGAACATGGTGTAGGGAAGCTGGAAGCAGGATAACCCAAAATCCAAGAGGCACCAGGCTGAAGACCATGGTGTCGAAGCTGAGCCATCTCCAAGTGGAGCTGCTGGGAGCACTGCTGGAGTCGGGGCTGACCAAGGAGACCCTGATCAAGGCTCTGAGCGAGGTGGAACCCTACGGGCTCCAGAGTGAAAGTCAGCGCGCCATCAATGCCCTGCAGACAGAGAAAGGGGAGCCCTGTCCCGACATCCCCAACCTCCCCAACGGCATCGGGGAGCCCAGGTTATCGGAAGATGAAACCTCCGATGACGGGGAGGAATTTACCCCTCCAATAATGAAGGAGCTGGAAAACTTGAGCCCTGAGGAGGCTGCTCACCAGAAGGCTGTGGTGGAAAGACTATTACAGTAAGGACGGATTTACTGCTCCTCTTTGCTGTTTTCTTGCGCTCTCCCTCTAAATCTCTTCTCCTTTCCCCTTCTGCTCAGTTCCCTAGTATTCAAAGTTGATCTACCTGCACAGAGACAGCCTTCATCCATGGCAGGACTAGCAGCCCCCTAACACCCCCAGATTCTTTATAAATGCTCAAATTTTCCTTTCATCTCACTTAAATGCATGAAGGAAGCCATGGAGCTTGATTCAACGTGCTTATAGCATCAGGCTCCAGTATAGTCCAAGGCCTGTAAAACCTGCATCTCTTTGACTGAATGTCAAGGTTTAGAATTTAATTTTTTTAATAGGATTCACAATTTCAGTCATCAGGAAAAAAAAAAAATTCGGTCACTCTGAGCTGGTGCCACATTTGCCTGAGGATGTACAGAAGGTGAATTTGTAATGTTTCCCTGCTGTATTTAAGGAGATTAATACTGTTAATTTCACTGGGGTTTGATGTAGATTATTGGGCAAAGACAAAGCAAGAGAACTCGTTCTGAGTGCAAAGTTCCCTGACTTCAGTGGGGAATTTTCTTGTAAAAAGAGCACACACTAAATACATGCAAAGGTTAAAACCCGGACAGAACACTCTGCTTCTACCATCCACTGCCTGTCACAGATACAAAGGACATACACAGCAACAGCTTTCACTGCCACACAAATCTGCCTTTGCAAAAAGCATTTTTGAGATCAAATGACAGAAAAAGTTCTCTGAACCAATAAGCCTCACAACAGACTCAAACATTCTCCAGGTTTCCCATTTGGGATTCTCACTGAGATTACAATTCCTGTGGGTGACCCAAGAGGGTTGTCCAAGCAAGGATCAGGTCCATCCTACCATCTATCACAGCAGATTCTTGCCAGTTTTGGGGGTATTTTGAAATGACAAGGTGAAAGAAAACAAAGAGATGCAGCAACATCCTACACTTAAAATCTTCACTGAAAATCCATCTAGAGAATTTCTCAGGCTTTCTGATCACTCTCTTTCACGTGCAGAGGAAAGCAACAGAAAATGTAACAGCATAAGAAAACAGAGCTAGAAAAACAACATGACAAGAGGTAGCATTTGCTGTAAATACCTTAAAAAACCCTCCCTGGCAGACTGGGACTTGATGACTCCACAGTACCCAAGAGAGGAAAATTCACTGGGTCAGCTCTTACCTGGGTGGGGAAAGCATTCCCAATAATTCAGTCTTCTTTCTGGCCCAGTATGTCTCTCATTTCTTCCCCACTTCCAGCTCTGTCCCATCTTTTAGTCTCCTCTGTTCCCTTTATCTCTTTCAAACCCTTTTTACCTATTTCCCTTCTCTCCTCACTTTTGTCTCTGCTGCTGTTCCTCCCATTTTGTTGTCTTCTTGGCTGATTCTCTCTCTGCCTCCCACTCTTTTCTTCCCTTCATCCTTGTCTCCTTCTCATCTCCCCGAGTCTGCGTACAGGTCTTGGGGTAGTTTGAGCCCAGTGGCACCGGGCGGGCCCTGGCTAGTTACTAATTATCCAATGGCTTTATTATTTCTCTTTTGTCTTATAAATTTATAGATGAAAAGACCCTGATAAGCTTTTTGATCATTAACTTCTGATGGTTTATCAAGTATCTCTCCACAAAGGAAGCCATGGAAGCTGCAGAAGCCCCCCTGGCTTTGTCCCTTTTCCTGTAGGGAACGGGTGAAGCAGGACTCAAGTGCCATCTGCTGTGATCCGAGAACAGACACAGGGATGGAGGGAATCCCTTCCTGCCACCCTCACTTCAGCACCAGTTCTGGCTTCTGATCCTCCCTGCCTTTCTAGGATCTTGCTGCCAGTGTGTCCTGTGCTTACTTTCAGCCTCACCACAAGTCTTACCTCTCTTGCAACCCCGTGATATTAATTATTAATACTTTCTGATGAACAGTCTCACAGCTGCCTCCAGACAGTCCATCGAGCAGCATTCCCATTTCAAAAATGGGAACCGAGGTACAGACAAATTCTAGGACCTACCTAGACCCCTGAGACAGCATGCAGAGGACTGAGCAAGGACAGGGATCTCCTAAGCCTCACACTGGGTCTTAATTCCAAAAGCTTTACCCTGAAACATCTGAGTTCTCTGTCATCAGTCCCCCCATCACAGGATAGAGCAATTCCCTTCTGCTGTTAAGGGCAGTATGAAGGCACCAGAAGCCTCAGTGTCAGCAAAAAATTACAAGTATACTTATGGAGGAATATAATAGGTCTAAATTAATCAAGGTGAAGTGAAAACAGCAGGAAGTCTGCATTGACATGTTTCAAATTTCTCATCAAAGTGACATCGTGTCTGAGAACTCATTCAAGCAGCTGAACCAGTATCAGGGGGTGAGAATATCTAAGAAATTGTTACTTACAAATAAACTTTTTTTGGTTTTAAGATGCCTAAAAGTAATGTCCTTAAAATAGTGTTAAAGAACCTTAAGGCAGGGCAGAACAGTCTATAATAGAAATTAGTCCCATCAATAGATAAAAGAGAAGAAGGCAAGAATCTCCATGCCCAGGGAATCCCAATAAAAGGTCAATGCTTGCAAAGCTATTTAAGCATCTACACAAGAATTTCAAATACAAAAAACTGATGGAGGCACTTCTGCTTTTAGAAGCCTCTTTGGGCATTATTAATTCCTGGCCTAGTACTGTAGGCCAGATTTTAAGAGAGACTGACTTGTGGCAGCTATTGCTGATACAAGAAATTCTTTGTGGTAACTTCAGCCATTGCTTATAAAGTAGAATCAGGAAAGTGTCCATTGTTAGGCTTTCCAGGAATTGGAAAGGGAAAAAATGACAGTACCAAGGGAAAAAACGTCAGTGCAGGACCACTGACGTTGAAAGCACAGTTTGGAAAGCTCTAGTCAAAGCTGAGTAAAACAGGATGTAGAGAAGATACACCTTGGTACACTGGGTGCACCTAAGGGTGTTGATTAGATCTTGCTCCCACAGACAAAACATGCTAAAGGCAGTTCAGATATTAACAGGTGAATTAACATATTTTCATTTTGTCCCTTCATATGTTTCACTGATCTTCTGCAAATTTACAGTTTGAATAAAAACATTCTTCTCATATCAATCCACACAGAAAACTAATTGCATCTGTGATAAGAAATAAATGACTCAGTAGGGAGTTTGAGCTGTGTGGAGAAACTCCCAGGTATTCCCAGAGTAGAAAGCAAGAGAGAGGCTACCTTGGGGGAAGGGACAGATCATACAACTGCAGGTAAAGCAAATGGAGAGAGGAATAGCAACAATCCACCTGTAGGGCAAGGGGTGAAATTCCATTAGGAAAGAAAGAAATTGAGATAAGCTACAGATTTCCCCTGGAGGCAGGGATAAAAGTGTGTTTTCCAGGAGGAAAAAAGAAAACAAAGACATACAATGATAAAGGTTCAGTCTTCCCCCCACCTTAGAGTGGCTCTAGCTGGGGAATCTGGAGATGAAGCTGCCACACCCCTTTCATTTCCACATATAAACCAAGATGAGGCAAACCAGGCCAAGTTCAACAGAAAGGAACTGCTGGGATGGATGGTCTTACCTTCCCTCTGGGCCCAGCCCGGCTCCAGGCTGTGCAGGGCTTGCAGCTCCTGAGGAAAGGACCAGAGGATGGTCCTGAGCACTTCACAGCTCTGAACCTCTGTTTGAGCAGGGGCTGGTCCAAGGCAGCAATTCAGAACCCACCTCAGGGAAATGAAGGCTTCTCTCACCTGAGAATCTGAGAACAGGAAAGAAGGAGAGACAGAGATAATGAGGAAAAGGAGGAGAAAGAAAGGAACAAAGGAGAAAGAAAAAGTCAGGAAGAGCGAAGGAGAGAGAAGGTCCCCTGAATGTTACATCTCCAGCTCTCTGGAATGGGTTTTCTTTAATGCTAACAACTTGATATTTACTTTCCATTTAAATTTGAGATGTTGCTATAAATTATCAACCAGCCTCTTGTTCCCTTTGAGTTTATAACTAACTACCTGGGTTACTTATTGTTCAGGTAACAAAAGGGAGGTGAAAACGCCCTTAAAAAGTGACCTCAGAAGTAAGAAAATGGGAAGCTGACATGGAGAGAGGACCCAGGCCCCTGTGGTGGGGATGAGTCACGGAGAGGGGCTGTGCTCAGATGGCAACAAGCAACTGAGAGCAGGAGAGCAAGACCTCAGGAGAAGTCAAAAGTAATTGCGTGAGAAGAATTTGGAGACAGAGATTAGACCCTGGAGAACAAGAGATGAATGGGGAGACTCTGCATCTGGGGAGAAAGGGAAGCTAAAAGGCAGAAAACAGGCTTGGACATAGGGAAGGAGAGCTTAAGTAAGGCAGACCCATTTCTGCAGTTCTGACTCACTGAAGCAATTGAGAGTTTAGTGTAACTACAAGCAGGAGAACCAGGTTTAGAGTGAAATCCTCCCCTCTGACAGTCCATGACAATCTTATGGCCAGTGAAAGAGCAAAAGTTTCAACTTATGATGTCTTAGCCAATGGTGGAGGCTCTGCAGGTGGAACTGTGTATTTGGGCAATGGTTCACAAGAGGGTTCAGCTGACCAGACTGTCATCACTTGTACTCTGGTGTAGCCTTGGCCTGAAGGATTGCTGCACTGACATCACAGACTGTGATGATACAGAGTAGCCAGGATTTCATACAACTTTGTCCCAGGAAATCACACTGTTCTAAGATTCCCTGCACTGCTTTGCCTCACAAAGCTCCCTGTTTTGTCCAAAAGTAGACAAAAACCACAGGGCTTTAACCACTGAGAGAAGAGTCTCACAGACGCTTCCTGCCTTATTCCTACCACAGAGAAGTGAGGATCTCAACGGGGAGACAAAAGTGATTGGGGTGCAGAAAGGAACCAACATGTAACAGAGGCTTCCATCAGTGGCAACACAGTCTTTCCTCTTCCCAGCCAAGCCAGAACTCAAATCTAAGAGACCAGGTTCCCAGTCAGTCTTTTCTCCTCTATATAGGGACTTATACAAGGAGTGCAGGGTGCAGGTGCTGGCTAGATTATCACAGAGGGAAGAGATTGATTTAGGCAGCAGAAGTGAAAAAGAAAACACACTGAGGAAAGAAAAGCTTTTATAACTTCAGCCAAATGTGAGGCTTTTGAAAGACAAAGATGGTTAAGGGAAGAAGCTGAAAAACAGAAGCCTCTATGGCAAGTGTTCCATTGTAAAAGAGAAACAAATGTTCTATTTTAAGCAGGTTCTTCAGAAAGCTGTAGCTGGCACTGTTTCTGTCATACTTTAACTGCTGTGGAGCTGCTCCTTGGACTATCAGCCATTGGGAGGCTGCAGGAGAAGAGAGATAAAGCTGTTTGTACTGAGAGAACAGGTGTGGACTTTGTCCTCCTTATCACTTTGCAGCCTCCGGCAACCTCCTGAGTCAACAGAGCAATGAGCAGCACAGTTGGTGCCTGTTGCTCAGACATGTGTGTTCTTGTGACAGTTTCTGCACGATCCTAGGTACCTTTTTCCTCCCCACTGCTCCTTTGATGCTGGTGTTGAATGTCACACCACTGTCTTTCCACAGCAAGCAAACCAGTTCCTCCAGACCTTTCACACAGAAGGCACAGAAAGATGCTCTTGTTGAAGTGAGCCAGGGGCTCTTCTGCAGGGAGGCTCCTGCACTGTTTGGACTCACACTGCCTGCTTTCACATCTTTATTGCTACTGTGACTTTCAGCTCTGGTGAAATTAATACACACAACGAAGTCACAGTCATGTTTTCTCTGTTTTCCTTAGGAACCTCCACGGATGTTCTAATTAATTAATTGGAGATCATAAAACCCAGAGATTCACATTAATTGTAAAATCCCAAGTCAGGTTAGCTTCTCAAGTTTTGTGTGCAGGTCTGAAGCAGGTCTATTCCCTCAGCTGTTACTCCAAAGGAGGGTGGCAATAGGAGGAATTGGTGGTTTGCCTGTTGTTCTTTATTGCATTTAGAAGCTCCAAGTGGCTCTAGGTGTGAATCACTGTGTTTGAATAACACATAGCAGGTGTGTAAGAACATAATCCTGGATGACTTGTCACATACATATGCATACAGAGCTGTCACATCACAGGATAATGACAGCCCACTTCCATTTCCTGAATTATTGCAAGGCAACCCAACCTGGACCAGAATGAGGGCATGAGCTGGGTTCAGCCTAATATCACAATCAATCTGTCTTAGAAGATTTAGTACATCCACCCCAAGCATCTATGCCTTAAAGAGAGGGGGATAGAGAAGAAAATTTATGTAGGGAAAGAGAAGAGAAAGGTTGCCTCTGAAAAGAGATCTGTAGTCACAGAACATCTATCTGAATACTGAAATGCAACATCACTTCCCTCCTCATACCATTCCTCATTAGCAGAAAAAGGGCTTTAAATCCACAGTACTTGCCAGCAGAAAGGTCCATTCCTTGCTCACATCACTGGTCAGCACTTTCTGTCATCACAGATGACAATTGCCTAGAGAGAACAGCCCAAAACCGTGCATGAAAATGAGCCCAGACAGCAAAGATCGTGGCCATGTACTGGGAAAATCCCTTGGTAACTGAAGAGCCTCCTCCTAAGGGGAGATCAAAGTACCTACAAAGAGCAGTTCAAAGGAAGCCAGTGCTACATCTTCTGCACTTTATTTCCAGTGCCCTGCAGTTCTTACCCTGAATGCAGAGTTCAAACTGAACGAGGCACCCCACTGAGGAACTGAGCTTTCCCTCCTGCAGCCAGTGAACACTCTGGCCTCACCAAACGTGCTGGTGATGACAGGCAAGGTGCCCCTCAGGAGGTACCAGGGCACTTCCTTGGAATCCAGGTCTGCTGAGAGCAGGTGTTTGATCTCTCTCCCCTGAGAAGTGTTTTCTGCTCCTTGCAGAGAGGATCCCTGGCGAGTAGCAAAGATGGTGAAATCCTACCTCCAGCAGCACAACATCCCTCAGCGTGAGGTGGTGGACACGACTGGTCTGAACCAGTCCCACCTCTCACAACACCTCAACAAGGGCACTCCCATGAAGACCCAAAAACGGGCAGCCCTGTACACCTGGTACGTCCGGAAGCAGCGGGAGGTGGCCCAGCGTAAGTACAGCACCAACTGTTCTCCTCTCTCCATCTCATAAAGGCCTCTGCTCTCCCCGGATCACCCTAACTCCCCATTCTTTTCAAGGAAAAATGGAAGCAAAAGCCACTTTTAGCAGGTAGCTTAGAGAAGTCTAGGTCAGTATTCAGTGGTGAGGTGAACGAAACAGGACATGGGAAATCACTCCCCTCATACAGCAGTGACCCACCTCCCCCTCTGGCTGGCTAAGGAGCAGCCACCTAATGCTCCCTGTTTGCAGTTAGAGTTCTACATCCACCCTCAGACTAAAGCAGGGTAGTGGGCAGATGACAGAGACAGAATTCCTGCCCGAGAGGAAACAGCCTCAAGTTGCACCAGGGGAGGTTCAGATGGGATATTAGGAAAAAATTCTTCACCAAAAGGATTATTAAGCACTGGCACAGGCTGCCCAGGGAAGTGGTAGGGTCACCATCCCTGGAGAGATTTAGAAGACATGCAGATGTGGCACTTGGGGCCTTGGCTTAGCGGTGGATTTGGCAGTGCTGGGTTAATGATTGGACTCGATGATCCTAAAGGTCTTTTCCAACCTAAATCATTCTGTGATTCTATGCCTTCTCTAAACTCAGCTGAATTTGCTTTCACTACTCCAAGGTGGGAGCAGAGATGCAATGCACGTGAGAGAACCATCGGGTAAAGATGGTCCTGCTAGAAACATCAGTTTTAGCAGATTATGGCACTTTATTTCCACTTTATTTAGATTCAACCCTCTGTCTTGTACAAGATATTCTCCAAGGGTAAGCTGCATTGGGCCTGCTAGGCACCCAAATAGACAGAACTATTAGAAATGCTTCCAAAAAGCCAACACCCTTGCCCTTTTGTGCCTGCAGAATTCACACATGCTGGCCAGGGTATCCTGACAGAGGAGCCCATGGGAGATGACCTGCCCACCAAGAAGGGAAGAAGAAACCGCTTCAAGTGGGGTCCTGCCTCCCAACAGATCCTGTTCCAAGCCTACGAAAGGCAGAAAAACCCCAGCAAAGAGGAGAGGGAGGCCCTGGTGGAAGAGTGCAACAGGTAAGGGTGGCTGTGTGGCTTTGAGGAAGGGGGCACAGCAGGGCCCCTCTGTGTCCTGGTGAGAGGCAGGGCAAGGGCACAGCAGTGGGTGTCACCACTGACACCAGCCACCTTGGAGTGAAATGCCACAACTGAGCATTCCCTGTGCACAGAGGACAAGGAACACCTCCTGTCTTGCTGTATCAGGATCACACAGCACAGTGTGCCAGACCCCAGCCCCTTTGGGGCCGTGCACTTACTCTGTGTCTCCAGCTAAGCCCAGCTCAGCAAGGCTGTCCTTGTGCTTTCCCCCAACAGGGCAGAGTGTATCCAGAGGGGTGTTTCCCCATCTCAGGCCCAGGGACTGGGCTCGAACCTGGTGACAGAGGTCAGAGTTTACAACTGGTTTGCCAACCGCAGGAAGGAGGAGGCTTTCCGGCACAAGTTGGCCATGGACACCTTCAGTGGACCCCAACCCACCTCTGGCCCCCCCCTCACTCCTCACAACTCCTCTTCCCTCCAGCCACCAGCTGCTCTCTCACCCACCAAAGTTCACGGTAAGAAGCAACCAGAGGGAGATCTGAAAGAGGGGGTGAACCTCCCCAAAGTCAGTCACCAAAACTGTCTCCCACATCCACCCCTTTAGGAGGTGAATCTACAGACAGAAAAAGCAGACTTGCTACAAGGGAAGAGCACAGGTGGCAAAGAGCCCACGTCTGTGAGCGAGGAGAGTGGCTAGAATGGCAAGGGTGACAAAGTTCAGTAACAAAGCTCACAGCCAAAGCTGTCACTCACTGTGACATCCTGCTCTCCCTCCCAGATGGCAGGCAGCAATCCCCTTTGGAGGAGTCATCCCTGCCTGCTGTCAGAAATCAGCTCCATATCCTTTCACTTGTGTGCCCCTTTCTCCTTCCAATACCAGCCCCATCAAATTTTTTAGGATCAGGAAAGGTCATTCTCCATCCAAAAAGAGCAGAGCTTTTTCAGCTTCACAGGCCAGAGCTGGGAGTTGCTCTTGCTCTGAGAAGAGATGATCTCACCACAACTCTCCTCTTTACAACCACATCCAGCAGGGTGGTTTCCAGTGAACCCTGCTTGCTCCCTGCAGCACTCACAGCCAGTCAGTATTTGAGGAAGCAGCTGCACCAAGTTACAGAGGAAAGCCAGGGCAGGGTGTGAGAAGGCCTGTTCTTCTGGTTCCCCTACTACCCATTAAGTCCCTGCCCAAACATCTGGAGGCAAGTGCCTGCAAAGGAAACTCAATTTAGCACCTGCCAAAGTTTCTCAGTTTCTCATTTTTGACGACCAGTTTCCCTCCTGTTGTGATGCAGGAGTGAGGTACAACCAGCAGCCAGCCAGCGAGGCAGAGTCCTCCAGCAGCAACCCCCACGGGAACAGCTCCATGGTGACCACCCAAACCATCCTGCACCAGGTTTCTCCCCCGGGACTGGAGCCCAGTCAGAACCTACTGAGCACAGACACTAAGCTGGTAAGTGATGGATGCTTCAGTTCTGCTGACTGGAGGACATCAGCTCTGCTGACTGTGGTCACCATGTGGACTATTCAGAAGTAGTTTTTCCCAGGATGTTCTTAAACCCACCTTTTTGTAGAGATACTACAAAGTCACTTTGCACTGACCACATGAGATCAACAGACCTGAGACACAAGTGCCCTCTAAACTGCAGTGAGGGCAGGAATTAGAGCATGAAAGCAAGAAGCCGTTTCCTTTATGAGCAATCAAAACAGCCTATTCTGAAAACACAGCACTCAAGGTATGACATGGTTTCCTTCTTCCCAGAAAACCCTGTTCTCTCCTCCTTTCCACAGTGAGATTCTCACCTCATCTCCAACTCTCATCTGAACTCAACACATCTCAAGATAGTTGATCAGACCAGTGGGATTAACAGAACACAGAACCACACCTACATCTACCTTACCTGTTGTGAAAATTAAGCCCAACAGCCTGTATGCAGACAGCACTGGATATGTAGATTGCAGCAACCCACCTTCTCAAAGCCAATTTCCTTTTGAGGTCTGATTACACCTTTTCCCACATAATTAGCAGTGAAGCACTAGAACTACACGACTGATCATTTCAGATTGTACACGTTCCCTTGCTTACAGAGAAACAGTTGGCAGAAGTTTGCATTAGTGCAAGTTGCCCTGAGGCAAAGTTAAGGTCACTAAAAATGAGTATGATTTAAATCCCATCAGTCACTCACTTTGCTGCTTTCTGGTCTCTTGCTGAAGAAAATGTGTCTTTTATGAGGTCCTGGAAATCTTCTACGTCTGTCTTCTAAAACTGATATCAAGGTGGTTTGTCCCACTGTTTAACCTCATGGTGTTTATTCTTACTAAAGGTTCCTTACAGCTTTTTGTCTGAGGGGAGAGAAAAAAAAAGTATAATATAAAGCATTGAACTTTCTCTATCAGACAAATTATTAGAATGCTTTTTTGCTCTTCCACAGTACTTTGATTACAGGTCTCTAAAGGGCCTTGCAAACTCAAAACCCCACTGGAGCACAGACACAGGTTATGTGGTTCATTTTAGAGGCTGAGAAAACAGTCAAGTTATTAAATTTTTCAAATACAGACCGAATCAGCAAGACACACAAACACAGAACAGTCCTGTTCTATCTAACAGGTACTTCTCCTCTCTAACAGCAGGGAACTGCCATGTAACACAGCCTGAAAAATACACTGTGTGACAAAAATAGTCTAACGGGACTTATCAGCAAGTCCTTTAAAATCGCAGTCACCGACCACTAACAGACACTTGCAGGGAGAAAGGGAAATTACAGGCATTTCTCGGGGGAAAAGGTGAACAAGAGGAACTCCTGCATTCTGTGCTGAACTCTGCAGCTAGAACTACTGTGTACCCAAGCCTCTTAATTTCTCTGAGCATCACCTTCTACCCTCAGCTGTGAAAGATATTCTTCTCTAAAAAGAATGCACCAGGCCTAACCTCATTCCTGTTTGAAAAATCCTGATGATTTCTTAAATGTGAAAGAACTAAACTCTCAGTTTACTCTCAGTATGTCAACAGCTGACTTGTGCTAGTTAATTGAGCACAGGGAAACTGCAGACAAGCAAATGTGAAGCCTTCCTAGTCAGCAAGGGGTCAGAGCAGGCAGGAAGAAAGGGAGGATGTTTCTCACAGCCTTGGGACTCCCCAGCCTGCTGCAGGTGGCATGTTTAGGGTTCTCCTTTCCCACAGGTGTCAGCTCCCGGAGGAACCCTCCCTCCTGTCAGCACCCTGACTGCCCTGCACAGCCTGGAGCAGAGCCCACACGCCCTGAGCCAGCAGACCCAGAACCTGATCATGGCATCCCTGCCGGGCGTCATGGCCATCGGGGCGGGCGAGACCCCGTCCCTGGCACCCGCCTTCACCAACACCGGAGCCTCCACCCTGGTCATCGGTGAGTTGTGCCCTGCCAGGAGTCACACAGAGAGCTGCCTGTCACTCCTACAAGCACCTGCCCCACTTCCAGAGGCAAAGGCACTGAGCTGGCAGTGACACACGAGAGGAAATTGTCACTAAGGATCTTCAGCAGCACTCGGTACCTGCGGGTTCCAGTGGGATTAAGGGGCAGATGTTCCTCACGTTAGAATTACGTTACACACAAACCCACGTCTTCAGAGTAAAGGGACTTCTGCCATCTATTCCTATGCCAATGTTTTGGTTTGCTGCTCTTCGTCTTCCCAAATATAAATTTAATACTTCCTTAGAACTATGAAAATTGAAGCATGTTCATGGTGCTTGAAAGACAAAACATACTGTTCCACTTCCTGCAAAGAGCAGCATATGCCTTTGGAATCCACAGTAATTACTATTTTTTTATATTTTTCACTTTAACAGCTTTTCTGGACTTGTATGAGATTTCTTTTCATTCCAAGACTAGTCTACTGCCAAAGTACATCTCATTAGATACTGGAAAATAAAATGTATACTCTCCTCTTACACTTTCTTCCTAGGAAGAAAGAGGCCTTATTTTGCTCCATGGTGACAGCTCTGAATTAATTTCCATTTCCACTTGTACCTCAGATTATGATATGGATTCAAATTCTGTGCAAACAAAAAACATAAAACTGGAGTGCTGGAGAGACTTGTTGATTTACAGGAATAGGATTTGAACAGTTGTGGGAAAAGGGCAGTAATGTGTGAAACCTTCTACCTGACACAAGTTCCATAATTTGGCAGCCCTAGCAAAAAGTGGTTAAACTCCACTCCATGTGGCTGGACGGCTACAGTCTAGTTCTGGTGCCAAGAGCTTCATAAAAAAAAAGAGTAAAATTAACTGGGCACTGAAATGATGCTCTGAGTTTACTTCTGAGCAAGGCCTCCCCAGTGGGCCTCTGTGTCAGGTCATCACTAAACTGGAAAATGGGCTACATGGTACACAGGGTGTAGACAGGAACACGCACTGGAAACCAGAGGTGGGGTTCTGCAGTGCACATTTTGCACATTGCCACTTCCCTCTCACAGGCATGAAATCTATTCTTCATCACAGATAACTAATGAAACTCCTGAAAAGCAGGATCTGCAATCACCCTGCAACCACAGGGCTGCCACAATGACTGTGTGACACCCCCACTGCAGAGCAGCCACACTCCTCCCACAGTGTGTGACACCACTGTCATCAGTCCTTGTTTTCCAGGCCTGGCTTCAACCCAGCCCCAGAGTGTACCTGTGATAAACAGCATGGGGAGCAGCCTCACTACCCTGCAGCCTGTCCAGTTCTCCCAGCAACTGCACCCCTCCTACCAGCAGCCCCTCATGCAGCAAGTCCAGAGCCACATCAACCAGAGCCCCTTCATGGCTACCATGGCCCAGATACAGAACCCTCACGGTAAGAGCACGAACTCGTTTGCTCAAGCAAACAAAAATAAAGCCTCTGTTCTAGGGCATTTGCTGGGAATTGGGCTTGCAGCTATTGTTGCTCTAATTATGAAATTATTTTTCTATTGCATTCATCTCCCTGTCCCTCCACTCCCAGCCTTTCAGAGACAGACAGCAGGTCCCCTCGCACGAGGAGAACAGCTCAGCCAAACCAGCCTCATGCAAAGCTCCAGCATCCACATGACCTTGTTTTCTTTCCTGCACAGCTCTCTACGGCCCCAAGTCTGAAGTGGCCCAGTACACACACACAGGCCTCTTACCACAAACCATGGTGATAACAGACACAGCCAACCTCAGCGCCCTGACCAACCTGACACCAACTAAACAGGTAACAGCACATGCCTTTGTTCCCCACCTTAGAACTGCTCCAGTTTGCAGGCAGCTTCTTGCTTGTCAAAGAGGTTTTGGGTGTGTGGTGTCTGTGTCATCCCAGCAGGACCATCTTTTTTATCTCCTCACTGGTGCCAGCTGCAGTACTGGAGGCACTAGAGAAAGCTCCTCACTGCATCATCAAGGAGGATTTAATTGTCCTTAGAAACAGCACCTGCTCAACTCTTCTCTCACACCTGTTAGAAGGGATGAAGAAGCCAGGCACTGTTAACTCTCTTTTCTCTAGGCATTCACCCCTGACTCAGAGACTCACACCGAGTCTGGGATGCACACACCAGTGTCACAGGCACCAACAATCCACCTACAGAACCAGGACACCACCATCCAGCACCTTCAGCCAGGCCCACGCCTCTCCTCGAGCCCTGCGGGTAAGAGCAGCAGCCACTACTGTCTCAAACCACATATTGCCCAGTTTCTCTTCCCAACTCTGCAAAATCCAGTTAGGAAATGGTAACTGGGGCTCACAATTCCCTAAGAGGGCTGTGTCCTGAAGGGGTCCAAAAGCTAGTACAAGGAAAAAATCCAGAGTACTTTCTGTGTAAGGCCAGACTGTGGGAATGGGCTCCTTCAGAAACTAGAGAGGAAAATAACCTTAAAAATACTGGCAAAATCAGTGTCGATGAGTATCCAGTCCTGTGGGCAGTTTTCAGGGCTGAAAAGTCCAAGGGTCCCTCATGAAGAGACTCCAGCTGGATCTTCCCAGTTCTAAGAGAACTAGGAGATCAGCTAGAATCCTCAAAACTGAACTCTCTGCTGCCCTCAGTGTTTTCAGGACCTATGTAAAAGCACACAAAACAGACAGACAAAAGCAGTTAAGCCCCTGTGCCAGGGGAGTGCAGCCATGGTGGAAATGTGAGGGTGTACACACAGGGTAAGGGGCCTGCAGTGGGAATCTGTACTGACCTTGTGCCCGTGCCTTTGGCAGTGTCCTCCAGCAGCCTGGTGCTGTACCAGAGCTCCGACCCCACCAACAGCCACAGCCAGCTGCTGCCATCCACCCACAACGTCATCGAGACCTTCATCTCCACACAGATGGCCTCCTCCACCCAGTGATCACCACAGCTGCCCCCAGGGTGACTCAGGTGCAACTCCAACCGTGTTTGCCATCACTGTCACCTCTGTCACCACGGGAAGGAGGGGCTGCTGTGCTGAGCCAGCCCCCACTGCCTCACACAGATCCCTGCTCAGCTGCCTCCAGGAGAGAAAATGTCTCAGGCTCCAGACAGAAGCCATGGGAAGATGATGCTGGCACTGCTAAAATCCACTGCCCCTCCCCAGAAACAGCAAACCCAAACCCCACAGGCCACCACAGAATGACCAGTCATCCTTTTGTGGCTGCCCAAGAGGAAATCCCACCAAGCCAGGGACCTGACTGAAATATGGCAGCAGTGCCAGGGCCTGGATGGGGCTTTCATTCAGCTCAGCTTTCATCAAGCTGGGCCTGTACAAACCTGCCAACACCAGACTACGCCATGAAGAGCAAAGATGAGCTGCCAAAGAAGGGACACCATCTTTAAAACACTCTCCTCCTTTGCTGAAGGAGCACCAATAATAACAATAACAGCACCTTGGAGGCAAGAGAGAGAACTTGGTTCCTGACTTTACAAAGAAAATCACCAAGAAACACATTTGGGAATGGCTTGGCACAAACCTGTCAGCGTGGGATCACTGATTACAAGCTACAAATCCTTAATTAACAACCAAAGTACCAAACATTCTCAGTTACAAATGACCTGCTCTAAAATCATGCTATCCCAGTGGAAATGGCTTGGTTATTTTTTATATAGCTCTGCTTTGTTTTAAATGCAGAAATTAAAGTTTAACAGCAGCAAGGAGATTCCAGTTCTCTGCATTAACCCTGTGGATTCTTATCTCATGTGACTTGCTGAATGATTTGGAGGATGGCATTCCCCACTGGTCCCTGACACTGCACAACACCTGGGAGGTTCCCAAGCTCCACAGAGAGTAGAGGTTCCTTCAGCTTTCTCTATAAACATGTCAGCTTGGATTCATTTTACAGAACGTGGCTCATTCTTGGCTTCCCTGGAGGCTCGATTCTGTAGCTCTTGATATGCAAATAATCACCCCGGGGTCCAAGAGTCCTGCCTGCACTAAGTGTAGGTTTTTAGTCCCAAGGATCCACTCACATAATTCCTCTTCTAATTATTCCTCTCTATTTACTCTCAACATTCACATTACTGATATGTCATTAACTGGGGCTTTCTTCACGTCTGGCTAACAGGTTTTTGTGACTGAAACTGAGCTACTCTTTCTACTGTGAAATGGATAAAAAACCTTGAGACTAGAGCATGCTCAAGACTCTTAAAAGGTTAAGACACAAGAGAAAATTAAAAAAGGAAAAGCCCAACAATGAACTTTTCAGTTATATCTGGAAATTACAAAATTGCAGATGTCCATTACAGGTTTCATTGATAGGAGCTTCCTCTAGACACCACCAACCATTTCAGGCACTAGATTCTCCGAGGAGTTTTATCCTAGAATTGTTTCCTAATTTCCCATGTGCATCAGTTGCAAATATATACATAACTTCCAACTAGCACAAAAATAATCTTAAATCAAATCAAAAGGTAATGTTTAGGCCACTATGCATTTGAAAGCCCAGGTCCAAACCTCAGTGCACTGCACTTTTAACTGCCCATAAGACAAGTAACTTGTGCTGGCACATTCGGTTAGATTACAAACCAATTTTCTACTTGGCTTTTCCATTTTTGGATGCCAACTGTGTTTTCTTGACTGAAAACCAGCAAGGATCTTACAGCAGGTTTCCACGCTCAAAGAGCAACAGTTCACTCTTTTGGTTTTTCTAATCTGGCTTTCTGGTCTCCTGATTAGGGCAAATAAGTTGGATCTACTGAAACCCAACAATCTTAAAAGAGAAGAAGAATATTTATTAGTAACAGGTAATTTCCTGAAAGACTGGAACTGAAGCATAAACAGACTAAGAGTCATACCAAAAACCACCAAACCTCACAGTATTTCAGAGACAAAAGTCATAATCAACCCAACTGAAACACGGTAATTTTTAAATTAGGCTTAAGTCCTTCCTGTAGCAATTTCATAGCAACTAAAGAGCCACCCTCAGCCATCTCTCTCTCTGCTGGGGAGAATCCAAATACAGCAAGAAAGCCACTGTTGTACAAAACCTACCAAATTAAATAAGCCCAACAGCGTAACAGAATTTAATAACAACAGATGCCGTAAAAAACTATACATGAAAAAAAATGTCATTGGACACAACTGAACAGCAGGACCCATTTATACCAACCCTGAAATCAGCTCACTGCACACTGTTTATGTGCTGGGGCCCTGGAGAGCTGCAGACTGCAGAGGGATTAGTAACACTGCAGGTTTCAACAACAGATTGTTATGATGATCACAGGAGAAAAATAAGGGGGCCTTGGTATCTGAAAGGGTGTTTTTGGTAAATGAGTCTCCCACGGGCTGGAGTTATTCTTAGTAGGCGCCTACAAGAGGCAAAGAGAAAAGGGAGTTGATCACCTGTTGCCATGTAAACCAAATTCAATTCATCATGTACTTTCTCCAGGACACCAGATTTGGTGTCATGATGTGAAGAAGAGCAGGAGGGATGCAGCTGTGATTACACCCCTCTGTCACACAAGTCTGGCACAGGATTTCGTCCTTTTAGGCTTGGCCTGCACGAGCAGCAGCACAGACAACTGCCGTGTGAGGAGAACAATGTTCCCTTCCTCAGGGGTGCCAACAGCACAGGAAGGCACTTAATTAGTCTCTCAGGCCACTGAGCTTTTAGAACAGAAGCTCTGCCAATTAATTTTCCCTCCTCTGCAGCAACTCTTGTTGTTAAGTTTTCTTTCATTTCCTTCATCCATCACAACCGCCTGCTGTTTGCAGAGTAAAACCATCATTCTAATTTTTTCTTCTTCTTTTTCTTCTTCACAGCTCCTGGCAGAACTGAGTTGTCTCCATGATTGCTGTTCTGTCTCTCCTGCTGTCCATTTGCAGACACCAACCGAGGCAAATCTTTGCAGATCTGGTCACACTCTACTGGGTCTATTCTTTTCTCTTGAATATTTTTCTCTCCCTTAATTTTCTTCTTCTTCTTCTTCTTTTTTTTCTGGTTGTGCTCTACACAGCCCTGACTCTGATCCTGGCTGGAATCCTGGGATAGTGCAGGAAAAGCACTTTGCTTCAGAATATCTGCAGCTGACACAGCAGCCTCCTGGAACCTTTGCCACTCCTGGTCACTGTCCGTGTCACTGGGAAGGGAACAAGAGGGAAGGAGGCTGTGTTACACTTTTGCCTTCAATTCACCCAAAACTCAGCCAGCAGAGTAATCTGAGATGAGAACACGTGATAAACACCCAGTGGCTCTGGGACTCCCACACCTACAGTTTGCATTTAACCAGATGGAAGGCCAGGATGCTCTTTACACACACAAGAAGGGGAAAGAAAATCTCCCACAAACATTTCTAGTTCCCCCAGCACTAAAATAAGAAACAAAATTCTGGTCTAGTCCAGTGTCAGAGTCATGAATACACACTCCTCCAGCTTTTCAGCTTCCTGTTCCCTCGTGGGATTTCCAGCTGCCTCTGAAATGTGGGATGCAACAGTCCTTGAAGAGCAAAGCAGCTGCCAACACCTCACCTGGAGCTCACTGGGCGCCTCCTCCTTGCTGCAGGGCAAGGCTCTGGTTTCCCACAGTCTCCAGGGACAGAGGAAGAGAAGAGGCGAAAACCTGAAGTATGGGAAGGGGAATTTTAGGCATGATATAAAACAGAGGTGAAAGCAATCAACAGCCATCTCCCTGGAAGCCTCACTACTGTTACTGTATTGCTACAGAGCTTGACAGCAATTACTTGGGACTGTGTGGGAGGACTTGGGGCACAAAGGTCACAGCTGCAAAGCAACAGCCCTCACAGGCACTAAGAAAAATCTTTTATTGCAAATGTTTATTAGTTGGGTGTACAACTAATTAGTTGGTGATGGACAAGATCCATCCCACTTGTCATCACTTAACCAACACAGTCACAATGGCTGAGACTGGAACTCACCATCATCTGCAGAGTCAGACTGTGGCACAGAGGTCTGAGAAGGTCCTGATGAGTCCTTCAAGACAGTTACAAAACTACACAGAAAACTCCAGTCAGAACTTAGGTTTGTGCAAACTCAGCTCAAGTTGGATATTTCTGGGAAACAAGACTAGAGGGAGATGTTACACTTTTTTGTTAGTGAGGTTGCCTCAGGTCCCTGCTTTCAGGGCAGACCAGGCCTTCTCCTCTCAGCAACACATGCCACAGGAATGATTTAAAAGCAGCCTTTCTAAAGCCAGCTCTAAACACCGGGAATTCTAGTTCTCCAGGGCCATATTTACACACTGAACAGCCCAGTCAGAGGCACACTGCCAACACAACCCTGAATTGGGCACTGCTTTAGACTGTAAGAACAAATGGAAGATTCCCATGCCACCCTTTAAATGACCAAAGTGCTAAGGCACCCAAATTCGACTTTTTTCCCTCTCCACAGCACATTCACCACAGAGGCAAATGGTCACAGGCAGTGCTGCACAGGATCTTTACCAGAGGGGCACAGCACATCAGCAAGGTTAGATCAGGGAACATTGGAAGCTTGCACTAAATACAGGAATGAAGGAGACAAGATGACGTTGAATTTCCTGGGTTCAGCACACAAAAAGCATCAGTGTAGCTGATCCATAGAACAAACCTTTTCAGCCTTGCCTGCCCATACCTGTCCAGCATTGCTCCCAGTTTCTTGGCCACGTGTGCTCTGAACTCTGCGGTTGTGTGGAGCTCGTTGTCACCCTCCTGGCAGCCGTTCACCTCCCGCCCGTTTAGAACAAGAACAAGGATTATTCTCTTTCAAGGCCAGAAACACCTGGTGCCCTCACCCAAACAGGAGACAAGAGACTGTAATACATGTAATTGCACTAATTCCTTCATGGGACACTTACAGAGTTGGGCAGTTTCTGACAGTGGAACTAAGGCTGTAAATGACAGCAGCAGTAAGTTTTCAACTTCTATATTTCCCTGCTGGTAGAGGGATGACAAATGTACTTATAAAAAAACTTACTATCTTTTTCAGATTTAACCATAATTTCAGATTATGGTTGGGCTAATTCCCAAAACAGAGCAGGCCCTTCCAGTGAGAATTATCACAAGGTATTAACTGTAAACAGCCCAAATACAACATACATTAATTTTTTCTTCAGTGAAACATGAAAGTCTGAAAACAGGAGAAAAAATACCTCAGACTTGGCTGATCTTTGGGCTGTAACCCATCCTTCCTAAAGCCACCTGAAAAGGAAGAAGCAAAAACACGTTTAAAAGACCTGCTCCAGGACCTCTTTAACGACCTCTTTAACCCCCTTCGGCCACATGTTATAGCATAAAGAATCGTGCCCGAAAGGCAACTCTCGCCCACCTTTGGGGGGGGGGAAACAGTTATGAGGGTAAAGGGAAACTTGGCTCCGGCCAGTCCTGCCAGGAAGGGGCTCCAGGCCGGGCATGACCTGGGCAGGGCCCCGCCCGGCTCCCACACCGGCACCGCGGCACAGAGGAGCCCCCGGGGCAGGAGGCGCTGCGGAGGGACCCGGAGAGGGAGAGGGAAAAAGGAGAGAGGAGAAAGGGCAGAGCAGAACACTCGGAGAGCAGAGCGCGGCTGTTCTCGGCCCCTCACCGCCACGTGGCTCCGCCCGTGGTGCAGCCGCCGCCGCTTGCGCCGCACAGTCCCAGGCGGCCTCCCGGAACCGCGCCGCGGCCTCGCCGCCGCCGTCCGAGTCCGAGCTGCTGCCGGTGTCGGTGTCCGGGCCCGAGACGCCTCTGGGCGCCGCCATGTTGCAGGCGCGCGGCACGCCGGGAGCTGCAGCCCAACAGCGGGGCATGCCGGGAGCTGTAGTCCAACAGCGGGGCATGCCGGGAGCTGCAGCCCAACAGCGGGGCATGCCGGGAGCTGCAGTCCGCCCGCGTCTGCCGAGACCCTCCCACCCGAGACCCCCGAGGGGCAGCGGGGGCACCCCCACGGACAGACCCGGGCCGGGTTTGTGCCGCGGGGAGCAGCGGTGCCCGCGCGTGGGAAATTGCTGGGGGTGACGGCCGGTTTCCATGTCCATCCCTGGCTGAGCAGCCTCCCCTCCCACGAGCCCCACAGGAAAATATCTCGGTGTTCCTCAGCATCAACAGCTCACACGGAGCAGGAGTGTTAAACACACCAACCACACCAGAAAACCCTTAGTTAAATAGCAGTATCGCTTTAGTATTTGTGGAGAAAGAGAGAATACCTGGCACTAAAGGATGTGGAAGGAGTCAGTGACTGTAATAAGATCCTCAGCACTCTACCACTGTTACCAGACCATTACTTATTCCCATTATAACACCGAAATCAACCATTTTTCGCTTTTCATATGTAATTGTCTTAACATACACAGTGACTAGTCCGAGCTGATCTGAATTTCATAAGCTCATCCCTGTTTTAATCAGCATCAGGAGGATATGGCCCCTATCTTTGGGGTCTCCTTAAATTCTTCTTAATCAGCTACTACACTGAGATGCCAAATTTTTGTTTGAATACAGAAGCTGTACCAAATCCTGCTGCTTTCCTGACTGGTTGAAAATGAAGAGTGCCTTGTTAGAGAGATTTTCACAGACAGTAAATACACTGCTCCTGAGGGTGGAACTGCCTTGTGTGCTCCCCATGCCACCACCACTGCCATGTTCACACACGACATCTTCACCTCAACTAGAAATTTTCCAGTGTGATACATCAACACATTTGGCAACTCCAGGTGGTCTTCTGGGAGACCCCTTTTCCATGGGTTTTGCCAGGGCTCTGTGCTGCTGAGAGCAGCAGAAAGGCTCAGTAGAGCTGTGTTTTTACACTGCTGGACACTCCTGGCTTGTACGTTCCACCCTTCACAGTAGGGATGTGCAGTCTCAGCCCAGGTGTGAGACAGGCCTCTGACAATATCCTTGGGCTCTTTCCAATAGTCTCCCTTGGCACTAACCCCCCTTAATTTAACTATTCCTTCATAAGGCTCATCTTCAGCTGGTTTAAGATTAACCCATTCTCCACTGTGTAAAACAAGCAGTTTTGGGCTGTTTTGTACCTTGGAGTCCTCAGGATTGGTGAGGTGCCCTCAGAGCTGGGACAGAGCCTTCAGAGGTGCCTTCTCAGGCACCTCTCAGTTCTGACCTGTTCCTTCAGACCCCAGGTCACCTCCTCTCCCTGTTTTTGGTCCCTCTGACCCCGGGCTTTCTCACAGCCGTACAGATACCTTTATCAAGCTCTAAATACCTTTATCAGGCTCTCTGTTCCCATCTTGAAGATGCTCCCGTGCTCCAATCCTAATGCTCTGCTCACATTTGTTTGTTCACATCTGAACAATTTGTTTCCCTCAAAGCTCCTTCCTTTTCCTTCCTTCCCTCCCTCCGCATTCAGTAAGAACTTTGTGCTCTCCCCAGAGGCCGCCGTTTGGACACCTCCCCCGGCAGCCAAACCGGGGCAGCCGCAGCGCTCGGGTGCCCGGGGGCGCGGGCGGGGGCTCGGAACGGGCCGAGCAGCCCCGGCCGTTCTGCCGGAGCGCAGGTAACGCCCGCGTGCGGGTCTGGGGGGGCCGCACAGGAGGGGCCGCCGGGGCAGCGCCTCCGGGCCCGGGAGAGCCGCGGGCGGTGCCGGGCGGGCGGAACGGCCCCGGCCCCGGCCCCGGTCCCTTCCGCCGGCCGCGCTTCCGGGCCGTCAGGTGACGGGCGCGGGCGGAGCGGCTGCTCGAGCGGGGCTGCGGGGCCCGCACCGCCGGTGAGCAGGGCCGGGCCGGGCCGGGGGGCGGTGGGGGGAGCCGGGGCCGCCGCGAGGCTCCGAACGAGCGGGGCGGGGGCGCGGCGGGACCCCCGTGATCGCCCGGTGGCTCCGGTGCCCCGGCAGGCCCGGCCTGTGTCCGGCCCCGGCCCGGGCCCGGCGCTGCCGGCCGGAGTTTGCCCCGAAACCCGGGGCTGGGGCCCGCAGGGGCCCCGTGTTCGCGCTGCGGCCGGGCCGGACCCGCTGTCGCGACAGATGGGTTCGGCTCTGGGTATGTAGAGGGGTCTGGCCCTGGCAACGTCGCGGGCATCAGTTTCTGGTACATGGCATTACTAACATTTCGAGAATTACTTATATGTTAAGAATCGCCTATTGCTTCTCAAACCACGTCATTGCTGTCGTATTTGGTGTTATTTTCACGTTTTCTGCTAACCCGGTCAGCCCGGCACGTCCCTGTCACGGCGCTGCAGCCCAGCTCGGGCAGCATTACCCGAGTGCTTATAGCAGTGCTCTTTGTTTGGTTTGTTTTTTTTCTTTTTCCCTTTGGACTTTGTGAGGTAAGAGGATAATATCTTTGTCAAAAGGTTTTTCTTAGGGTCTATATTAAACCTTTATGGAATGGATAAAAAAAGTAATTACTTTAATCGCTTGAGGTTTTTCACTGTTTGCGTTCGTGAGGTGCCTCGAATCCTTGGGGTTCCCAAAACAGCCCCTCAGCTGGGCCCTCTCCCCGGGAACAGGGGACGTAACACAGAAGTACGTTGCAGAATCCCAATTAAAGAAACGAGGCCAAGCAAGGGCACGTTGGGCTGGAAGGCAAATGGCTGGTTTTGCAAGAGCAAGTGATCACATGAGTTTTGAGACCACTTCGTGCTAATACTGAAAAGCTGGTGCCCGGTGCTGTGCAGGTTGCAGGAAGTGAAAAGATGAACTTGGGAAATGTTCCCAAGGAGTTAAAATGTAACAGGTTTGGGAGACAGAAAAGAGTAAAAAGGTATCGAGAGATAAATGGATATTTAATGATTAACAGAAGGACAGTAGTGTTTGCCAAGACTATCTAAAAGTGACTGTCAAGAAGTCAGTGTACTTTCTTCTAGGCCCTGTCAGCAATTATCAGCTGAGGTTACCTGCTGTTGTACTTGAAGCCCAGGCAATTGTAATAGGTTAGGTATTAGATTTTTGTTTGACTTTTGAGTGGGTGTATTTATACTACTCTGAGTGTTAGTTTTTGGTTGAGATAGAATTTCTGATGTTAATATTCCTTTTCTAAAATTTGTCACACGTGTCAGAAAATGTCACTGTAGTGACAAGAAAAATAATCCAACAAGTTTTCTTTTTGATTTAAACTGCAAAAGGTTCAGGAACTAAATCCGAGCTTGTTTCGCAAACAAACTAGCTTTGGATTATTTCAATTTCAGTAATCCTAGATAAAGTAAGATTTTTTTTTTTTTCTGCATGCTTTAACTTGTAGTGGAAACTCTGCCAGTCTGGCTTGAAGCGTTTTTCCTATGTTTTTAGGGTTGGGTCAGTGCACCTTGGCAAATGCAGTCATTCTCATTTGCTGGGTTCAGAAACGTGACCTGTGACAGCAGCCATTCAGCTCCTGCAGTAAAAGGTCTTTCTTGCTGCCAGTTGGTGAGATCTGTACCCAGTGCTTACACAATACATTGAAAATACTAAAACAGCCCCTCCCTTGCACTTACCCCCATCGTGGAGCTCCCGGCTGTCCCAGTGTCCCGTGTGCCTCCCGGAGGACCAGTTCCACCGTCTCATGTATCTTCACCTCCATGTCTTCAGCTCCACCAGACTTTTTTATTTAGGAAGCTGACTTGAAGTAGAGTTCCTTGTTTCTTAACTGTTCATCTGCTTGATTCTCGGGTGTAGTAAATGTCAGAACGGTCTGTTGGGATATCATAGGGATCATGATTTAAAGGAAATAAACAGCTAATATAGGTGGCTTTTAAGTAACAAAGATGCTGTTTTCCTGTCAATACCTAAAGAGCAAAAAAGTAAGGAGAAAAGACAAGATCTTTAAATGCTCTCTGTTAGATATCAGCTGATTTTTATATCCTTTCACTTGTTTGCTACTTATCATGCTTCTGGGCTTGATTTGGAGACCAGAGTTTGGCAAACCTCCACTGGCCACTCTAAATTCTGTTTACTTAACCCCAAAAGTCATCTTCTATACCAGTGTACTCACAGTCTTCCTTCTGAACTCTAAATCAAAATGAAAATGGGGTTGGTTTGGCCTGTTGTCTTGATTGTTGGGTTTTTTAGTGTGTGGTTTGCTTATGGTTTGTTGGTTTGGGGTTTTTTTCCCTAAAGAGTTTTGTCTCAGAGTTGAGGTAGTTCAAGTGACAGTTCAACAATTTTGAGCTCGTTCTACACTCAGAGCAGGTGAATTTGCAGTTGAACATTGACTTCAGGGTCCACAGGGCACACTTACAAGTGACACAATATATGATTAACAAATGGAAATGAGCCACTGGATACTGTTTCATGTTTGCTTCTTTGCACACGTGCAGCCGGACTGGCAGATGAACAGACCCAGCAGCACTTGTTACAGACCTGGGTGTGTTAAATGATATCCCAGGGACAAGAGCAAATGTGTGAGAAGGCTTTTCAGGATGAGACTGATTATTTTTACTGTTGTGTTTTGATATATTTTTTATATTTTAAATTGGTTATATCCTAATAAGTCATTGGGCCCAATCAGCCAGTGGACAAATAATTAGGAGGGGATCCCCAGTACAGACTAAGGAATGACCCTCTTCTGGGACAGGAGATCCAGTACCTCTTGTGTTGTATCATTTTCATCTTTCTTCTTCTTCTTAACCATTTTATTTCATTTCATTTCATACTGATAGTTTAGTAACTTAATGATTTATTAATTTTTCATAGTTACTGAAAGCTAAGGGTTTTTTTAGTAGGTGCTGGTGAAGATACAGATTTTATCTTTTTGATAAGTTTCCAGATTTGTGCTGTTAAATTTATGGAATTTAATTTGTAGAAAATTACTTTTTTTTCCACATGGTTTCAAGGAACACAGAAATTAATTTATTTGTCTCTTTTACATCCTTTCCTTGTGTTATATGTCAAGACATAAGACACATAAGACCCAGACATTTCTTGTGCCCATTCCATAAAGTAATGCTGTGTTTTTTACAGTGTGTTGAACTCTTTAGTTTTAATGAGGTTTTCTACATTTTGATATTTATATATATATATGGGTCCAGGTTGGTGAGTTTTCACATAAACTACTGAGTAAGACAGGCTGAAGATTCTGGTAGTAAGGATGTGTGAAAAATCCAAGTGTCTTTAGCATATAGTTTATGGGCTGGCAGCATTTCCATCTGCCTTGAACCGACAGGAATTTGGATTCTGTGCAATGCACTGAGTGTAAATGAAGTCATGGTGTGAAATGCTGAGAGTCAGCACTGCTGAAAGCAGCGTATGTTGAAGTGCAGCATCTGTGAATACAAAGCTGCCCTTCTGGGACACTGTGCAAAATGATGTAACTGAGTGAAAAAGCTCTGCAGAAATACATTCCACCTGCTGGAACTGAGTGTCTCTGCTGCAATACTTCACCAGGCTTGAGTGTGAGGCTTCCTTGACCGTGCTGTGGGACTGTATGGTATGAAAAAAGCTGCTGGCAGCAACAGCCAGAGATCCTGAGGTTTTCTTTTGCTGCCCTGCACCTGTTCTGCAGCTCTGCTACAAAGAGGTGACACCAAGGAAAGCCTTTAATGCCCGTGGGGTGAGTTTGCAAAAAAATTCCTCTGAAAAATTCAAGTTGCCCTTTGAAAGTGCTTCACTGTTTGTACACTTGCAAAAAGGCCAGATAATCACCTGTTTTTTCTCATAACCTTAACTAAGTATTCCTGTTCCTGCAGCAGCAACATGTCAGAGTTTCATGGAAAGCACAGTGGAATATTTTAAACATTTTTGTTTTAGTGAATTAATATATCTAACTGCTGAAACTCTCTTAGTTCTTAGATTAAAAATATTACACTGTTAAGAGTGTTTCTGGAAATGTAAATGCCTTGTGCTGAGTCTCAAAGATTTAGGTACTGTGGAATTTACATATCAAGGATGAGACTGTGGAGGTTGTTGCTACTGAAATAAAATAAATGGTGTTCTCTGCTAAATATGATGATGTTAATGAGTAGTGAGTAAAATTAAAGAGCATTAAGGTACCATTTTTAGTACTTCTGCATTACTACTGCATTAGAAATGCTTGATAGTTTGAAAGTACTAGAAATGTTTGATAGTTGTATCAACACATTGCTGTGATAGCAATATACGGCTCAGGAGACAAATCAAGTTCTAAGCTGCCTTTGCTTATCATTATTATCATTAATATTCCAAAGTAATGAACACTGAACTCTGCATTGTCAGTCTGTCCAAACTGAGAATGGCTTCATGATTAAATCCCATTTCAGGCTGCACTTGCAGTTCTAACTTGTCTTGAATTTTGGAAGAGCGTGTGTGACTAGGTGAGCTCATTCCTCTTCCAGCAAATGGCATTTCTGAGAAAATACAGGGGGTTTGTTTTGGCTGTGGATCTCAGTTGCTTATCAGTAACAGTAAAATACAGGTCACACACCAGCCAGGTCATACTACAGGACTGTAAAGTAGCTTAGTTTCTAAAAAAAGATCCCTCTTGGCTATGTTAGATTAAAACCATCAACAACAGGATTCAAGAGCTTCTTAGATAAATCACTACCAGTTTGGAACAGGACCAGAATGCAATGTTATAATGCCACGAAGTTGGGTTTGTTTGTTTTTTTTCCCCTTTCTCACTGCTAGGATTCCAACAGGAAAATTTTCTTGACCTTGTGTCTGGGTAGTTCTTGAGGATGGCAAGCAAAGGACCCACAGCTTCTGCATCAACCAAGAGCTCCAGCACTGGAGGGACCAGTGGCAGCAGCAGTAACGGTCCCGGGGACAACACTAATCAGGACAACACTTTTGAATGTAACATCTGCTTGGACACTGCCAAGGATGCAGTGATCAGCTTGTGTGGGCACCTCTTCTGGTAAGTGCTCCCACCCCCACAGCTCAGCCCCTAGATCAGCACCATCCAGCTGATCCCATAGAATCCTGTGCTTTTTATAATTTCAGATGCCCAATGTCCTGTATAAAATGAGTAAGGACCATGGGTTTGGTTTAGGAGAAGCTTCTCGGCTGTTGTTCTTTGCTCACGGTCCAGGAGGGGGTTTCTTGCATCTTAAACTTCTGTACTTCTGGCCATTCCTGTAAGAGTTGGACTCGATGAGCCTTGTGGGTCCCTTCCAACTCAGAATATTGTGATTATTCTGTAAAAGCAAACAAGCAGCCCCACACAGACAGTTCAGAGCTCATTGATACTGCTTGGTTTTGTGTGTTATTTTATTTGTGCTGTCTGGCCTAGCACAGATATCTTCTTTAGACCTTTCTAACCTGTGCAGACCTAAACCTGCCTTTGAATCCAGGTCATGGAGGCCAAACTGTAGTTTCTCCCACAGGCTTGGCTGTTTTTTCCTTTGAAACCATAAAAAGGAAAAAAAAATAGGCAATAAGCTTTTCCATGTGGGGTATTTCTCTTTTTCCATGGTATTGCAGTTGTAATAGGAACTTTTCAGTTCTTTGATCTGACATGGAAATAATGTACAGCACAGATATAATACACGTGCAGCATTTCTAATTTGGGTAACTTGGTTTGAATATACTCTTTCTTGAATGTTAGGAAGTTGTTAGGGATTGACATGGCCAAATGTGGGGGTTTGGGGGGTTATTTTACACAGTAGGCTAAATCTTTAATAAAAAGAGGCCTAAAAGAACATTTCTTTTCTGTGTAAATGTACGTAACATCTGAAAATCCAGATTTTTCATTTGAGGAGATGGAAAATCACTGGCTAATGGCTTGTTAAGATAAAATTAGATTGAATTATTGCACAAAGGGATCTGGAAGAATGGAACCTTAAAAATAGCATGTGTCTTGTCTGAATAGGGTTGTCAAGACCATTTTGAGAGCAGATGGCTGTTTGCAGTTTTGTCTTGTAGCCTTGTTTTCTTTGACCTTTTTTTAATTTGCCATATTAATTTAATCTGTATAATGGGAATTTTTCTGCCCTGAGCAACTGGGTCTGACTCAATAGCTGACCCTGCTCTGAGCATCAGGTTAGACTACAGGCTACCTGAGGTACTGTCCAGCCTGAGTTATTCCATGATTCTGTGAATGTGGCTGATGTTTCAGCTAAATCTTTTAAGATCCTGAAGTCTCATTACTGACATCTTGCTCATTTGCACCTTAGCTCAGAGATATCTTTTCATGGTGTCAGAATAGCCAGTTTGCACAGTGAACCCCAGGACTGATGCAGCCTCTGTGTGGGCATTTGGTGTGGAAGAGGACGAGGAATCGAAGGGGATATGCACAGAACCACCTTTGCAACTTAGATTGTGTAACCTGAAAGAACCAGTGGAGATCAGTCTTGGGCTGTACTTTCAGAAATTACTTTAATGGGAGGTTACAGAACTGGCCCAGCTGGATTCCAGGGTTCTGCTGTGGCCAAGCCGTGCTGTCCGTGTACATTTGTCGGATCGAGTTGTCAGTAACTAATTCTATTTTCCCCCTTTTTCTGCTCTGCGAACAAATTGTCCTGGGAATGCTCACAGTTGGCCTTGTTTACATCAGGTAAGACAGGTTTCCTTTTACTTTGTCTTTCATCAGCTCCTGTTGCTCAATAAAGCCCTTGGTTCTCTGGAGTATCCCCCTCTTTTTAAATGTGCTTTTCTCTCCAGGGCAATCACAACCTGCTAATGCAACTGCATGTGCACCACCTTGCAAACTGCTCTTTCAGCATGAAAACCTAATTCTGTTCCACCTGAGTATTTCCAGTTTTGGTAGAATTACTGTAGGGGGTTCCTTTGCAGGTTTAAGTGCTGGGTGTACTTCTCTCTGCATTTGTAATGTTTTACATTGTGGTACCTTATGGAAAAGCTGGGTGAAAGGAGGGTGTCTGCACTTAGCCCTGGGCCTGTGCAGGACTCTTGGCACTGTTTATTTCTTCATATTTTACTCCAGGGCAGGTCTGAATGTGTGCACATCAGCAAGTGGATCATACCAGAACAACAGCCAAAGTGCCAGCTCCATTTTGGAGAGCACTTGGTACTTATTAAAATGGTTTGCTCTGGGGCTTTCTGAGGAATTGCTAAAGTCTCTCTGCCTGGCTGCAAATGAGGTTTGGATATTGTTGTTTCATGGTCTTTTACTAGTTTCCTTATCATGTCCTTTCTTTTAGTGGCTAGAGACCAGGCCAAACAGGCAAGTGTGTCCTGTATGCAAAGCAGGAATCAGTCGAGATAAAGTTATTCCTCTGTATGGAAGAGGTAGCACTGGGCAGCAGGACCCCAGGTAAGAAACCTAAATACAACTATTTTCGTTTGAAAGCTAAAGATGAAACTTTAGTTAGCTGTCTTAAGATTAAACTGTCAAAGTGCTGGATTCATAATTCGTAATACTTTGTCAAAAGATAGATAGAACTGACATTTCTGCCAAATATTTCTGGCTTTTTCAGGGCCTGGGTTTACACACCTCATTTCATGTTCTGCTGGCAATTCATTTGAATTTTAACTGGGTGTTAATTATCAGTTACAAGTGGCAGGTTGCAATGATTGTTATCTGGCTGGATAAGCTCCTATAAAATGTTCGTGTCCTGAGTTTTTAGCCTTTGCAATGGGACTTCTGTTATTCAAAAGCACAGCAATAATTTGGGGATGTGCTGCTGAAGGTCCAGGAGCTGGGGGTTGGCTCTCTCACACACTGCTCCAGCTCTGCTGCAGCCTGGCCCTGTGGGACCGAGCTTTGTGGTTGCTCTGCCTTATTAGCCAGGCTATTGCAGACACTGCTGTCATGTGTCCTTGCACTTGAGCTAATTTCATAACTTCCTGCAGAGAGAAAACTCCACCACGACCCCAAGGACAGAGACCTGAACCAGAGAACAGAGGGGTAAGTGAAGAAACAAGCTCGGGCTGATGAGTTGTTTTTGTTGATGGTGGTATTTATTCCTCCTGGAGGACACAGTGTGTGCTTGAGATCCTGTGTGAGCTTACACATCTTGCTCATCCCCAGTTGGCTGGTCATGAATCATTCATAGCTGTGGTGTGGCAGAAAACTCCATTCCTACAGTACTCTTTAGCATCCCAAAGAACGGGCTAACTTGGATTGTGCTTTGTGAAAATGGCCCAGTGTGGTATCACTGGAAATGCTCTTCATGCTCAATTGTTTCCCATGTAAATACAAGGAACACTTTGCTTTGAAAATCCATTGTGGAAGTGTGTTTCCATCAAAATATACCTGTCATGGAAATACATAATTCATGTATGAACTGGGATTTCTGGCACTGAAACCTGTTTCTATAATTTCTGTGGGATGTTACTGTACCATGGCATTACAAGCAAAAGAAAGAAGGTATCTGTTGGATACATGTTCATGTGGAGAGGGATCTCTGGTGTTGTTGAGGAGATGACATGGAGTGCAGCTGGCACAGGCTGAGCAGACGTGGGAGAAGGCAGTAGGACAGTTCTTCAGCAGGACCTGATGAAACAATGGCACATTTCCATGTAACACAGCCTGGGGTCCTCAGAGAGGATTTATCTGCCTCATGCTGCAGGCAAACAACTCTGCTGGGTGTGATTAAGGCACATTTCTGTATTGAATATGTTGGGAGCTCAGCTGTTAAGGGAGTTGCTGCCTTATTAAATCAGCTCCTGCACCTTGTTTGAACCTTTGAGCTGGTGCTGCTGGAAGTCAGAGGAGTCTGGTACAAAGACCAGCAGTGATGCTGCCCTCCTGTTCCCTACAAGCCCTGTACCTGCACACAGAGAGCTTTGCTGTCCCTCATAGTTTATGGCAAAGTCCTTGAGAAGAGTCACAGTCAAAAGACCAACTCCTCAAATCAAGGCTCGGTCCAGAAATGTTTGGCTTTTATTATATGAGTGAAATCATCTTTGTCCTCCCACTGTTGGGAGGTGACAGACCAGAGGGTCTTTCAGAATTGGTATCACTGTTTCAGTTCTGAGATGAGAGGGCAGGTGGCTGGATTACAGAAGTGTGGGCTCTCAGCAGTTTTTAAACATGACACAACTTTCTAGATCCACACACAGCTGGTTCTCCAGTAGCACAGTGCTTCTCCACAGCAGGATTCATCTCCATTCACAAGACTTGTCTTTTGACTTGATGTGGTGTTTTAGTCTGGATCCCATGGGGTCAGTGTTGCATTGTAACTCTTCCTTTTTTCCTCCTTTCTTTATGTCTTGCATTCCTGCCCCAGGTGACTTTATCTGACACCTTAATTAGAGTCCCCCTGGTAAATTTTTTTTTTGTACTATTCCTTATAATGCTCTTTGCATCCCACTGGCAATTTATCACTTCACTGAGTGTTTGAATGACACACATGTATCAAGAAAATCAATGTAGATTATTTTTTTTAAATGCCTTTCTTATAGTTATGTGGCTAATAGCTATTAACACACAATACATTGTTTAGACATTCTAAATAGGATTGGTAATGTTGATTTTGATACATTGGCAAATATCTACTACTTTAAGCTGAGAAATGTTTCAGATACACTTTTGTGAACTTGTGGCTTTCAAGCAAAAACTGTGGTTCCTAGTTTTCATTTTCTCAAAGTTTTGGGTTTCTCTGCAAAGTTTGCTACTGTGTGAAACATTTTAAAACCAGGAGAACTAAGGAGATATTTACAATAGTGTGTCAGAGGGAAACTTGTCAGACAGCATGGCCTTCCTTCAGGTGGAGGAGAGCCAGAGGGAGGGAATGTCTGCACTTCTACACAATATTCTGAAATAGGCTTTAAATGATTGTTACCTTTTTTGTCTCCTGCTGCTTTGTTCTCTGCAGGGATTCCAGGGCTTTGGCTTTGGTGATGGTGGCTTCCAGATGTCCTTTGGAATTGGGGCGTTTCCCTTTGGTATATTTGCAACAGCCTTCAACATAAACGACGGGCGACCTCCTCCAGGTACCACAGATCCACCTCCGCCAAGGGTCCTGTCACAAACACGTGTTACAAACTCCCTTGGAACTCTGAAACAAATAACCTGCTAAAATGACAGAATGTTCTCAGCAATAACAAGTGCTGTGAATAGAAACACAACATGAGGGCAAACGGCCAGCACAGAACATGGTTTATGGCTGACACAGTTTGTACATGGGCTCGTAAAGAAGCAAGTTTGTCCCTTCCGTATCATTTAAAGGCCCTCCCGGGAGAACAGTGGCACTGGAGAGGGACAGTGGCACTGGAGACTTCTCCCTTTTAATTCAGATGTCTCCTCTGGTACTCAGCAGACTCCCTCTGAAAAATGAGACAAATTGGACTAGAGTTTCTAATAATAAAAAGGAGTCACTAGGGGTGTATGAAGGAGACCTAGATTTTGAAAACAGCAGGAAAGGACCATTTCCTGCAAGATGAGAAGGAAATATTTAAATGTGCTCTGTACCACGAAATAATGAATGCAAAGATTGTTCCTTTTTCAGAAATTTATCTCTGAGACAATCATCTGTATTCCACAAGAAGTAACTGGTTTTGATTAACAAAAACCAGTTGGGTTACTCCAAGTGGTGACCTTGCTCTCTAAAAATTAAGTAATCCCTAGAAAACCTCTTCCCCATCTGCACTGGAGACAATCTGAGTCTGTCTGTTTTGAACAAGAAAACTTACTGCCCAGGATTTTCTGGACTTCCTCTGTGAATGGTTGTGCCTGGCAAATCTTCCACCATGTCATATGGCACAGGAATTACGAGGAAGAAACTCATTCTTCATGTCACAGCTGTGTTGCCACAGTCCTGTGCTATCCTTGGGTCCAGTTACCTTCCCTATTAACCACAGTTAAGTGTCCCCTAAAAATCTGTGTGTGTGGTGACTGAGCCAGGAGTGTGTAAATATGTGCTGTTGTAACAGCCATAATTTAGCCAACTCCTTTATCTGTTTTTCCTTGGTGGATTCAGTCCAGCAGTTCCAGAAAGGCACAGCTTGAGTTTTAGAGCTCATGTGCTTTTCATTAGTTCTCTTGGCCAGGGCTGCACAGGCAGCTCTGACCCTTTTACCATTTCCTTGTTCAGAGGTTTCACCTTGGTGGGAAGGAACAGAGGCAGCTCAGGTAGAGGTAGTGAAGTTCCTTGGGAACAGTGAACTTGGCTCAGCACTGTCTACTGTGTTCAGAGTATGCATGATCCTGGAGAAGAGGAAGGAGCTGAACTGTTTTTTGTTTCTTTTTTTTCACTTCCTGTTTTCCAGCTGTTCCAGGGACTCCTCAATATGTGGATGAGCAGTTCCTTTCCCGCCTCTTCCTGTTTGTGGCACTGGTGATAATGTTCTGGCTGTTGATTGCATAAATCTTTTCCATTATTCTATATATTCATGACCAACAAGGCCACTGAAACAGTTACAAACTGCATCCCCATCCCACTTTAAACCTCTTGGTCTGGTTCCGTAGCTAACTATGGGCTTCAGGAATTGGTGGTACCACAGCACAATGAGGAATCTCGCATTTTGCACCAGAGTTGCAAATTAAACATTGGTTAAAAAGCATATTTCAGCTCAGATATCTTGTACAACAGGTTCCTGCCACAAACCACGGGCCTAGCGTTGAGCTGTGCTCCCAAGGGAGTGCTGCTCTGAAATCCTGTGCCAATCAGTGACACCAGGTCTGTGGGACAGACAGGGACCCCCAGGTAGACTGGGCAGGTCAGGAAACTTCTCCAGTGTGACCAGTGTCTCATGCTTTGCAACCACGATGGATCTGCCAGAGCTGCAGATGTTATTTAATGTCTCCATCAACATCCAGCCTTCTCCAGGAAATCACCTGCAGCACTGCTGACACTCTTTGGGCACAGCACGTGGTGCAAATGGAACCAGGTCCGGAGACTGGTTCCTTTTCCTGCTGTTATTTCCCGGCGTGATGGAAACCCCTTCCTGACGCGGTTCTGACGGCTGCTGGAAGAAGGGATACAAATTTATGCTGCAATTTTTTAAAGCCTGAACATGCTGGAGCCAGACACTGGAAGATTCTCTGGCTGTGGAGCCGGGTGAGGCTGGACACAGCTGCTGCCTCACCCAGCCCAGTTCCTCACTGACCAGCAGTGTTGTCTCCCCTGGCTCTGCACAGCCCCGGGGCTGCACTCGTGGATAATCCCCTCACCCCTCACAACCTCCTCACGGTAGCGACAGTTATCCCCTCCCAAGGCTTTGAGACTTTCTACGCAAGGTCATGTCCTCCAAATAAAATCCTATTACAGATCCGAGATCAGCTCGTTCGGGGAGAGGAACAAAAGGCATCTTTACGTGAGGTTTGAGGTTAAACCTGTCATACTGTAAAATTGCACAGGAGGAAAAATGAGATCCTGCCTTTGCCAGCACATGCACGGTAGGGAACACTTGGAAGACCTTCTGTCTGCAGGTGCACACAGCTTCTCCGAGCCACAGCAGAACGGCCACAGCACAAGAGTCTCTGCAGTATCTACCAAAGAGTTTAATTTGAAGTGCTGGAGGAGACCACAACCATTAATGTGCTGAGGGGATATTTCAGAAGGTGAGCACTCTGTAGCTGTTTTGGAATCCTGCTGGGTATTCAGCTTTAAAGAGTACTCCTGATGTATTTGTGTAGATTCCTTCACAACAGCAGATACAAGAGATTCCCTAGCAAGATGAACAGTTTTCATATTTCTCTGACTAGGCAATTCCATTTTTTTTTCTCTTATTGTTTTTAGATTGTTTCGATTCAGGTCGCTGATAGTCTCATTGATTTCCTGCAAGATGAATATTGTGACTTCTCTGGCAATAGACAGAAAACTGACAAAACAAATCAACAAATAGAAACTTTGTTTCAATAGCTTGGGGTTTTTCTAGTGTATATGGAAGAGGTTCCTGGGCAGGACACCTTAATTGTTGTAGAAGCTTATTTATGTGATTATAAACTGTTCACTTTTAGTGTCAAGACAGAGGATGACTGAAGTTTAACTTGCCTACCTCCAAAGCTCCATCTGGCAAGTAGAATGTTGCAAAGCTTCTGCAGTGTTTTGCCACATGTGGTCAAATTTATACCTGACTGGATGATAATCTGGCACAGTATATTGCTCAACTATTTATAGTTGAAGTGGTGCTTCAGCTTTTGTTGTGTGGCACTTTTGGGAAGCTGAACTTCTGCACAGGGTTCGTCTCAAGTGCATAACATGTAACTGGGGCCCTTTCCAGGAGAAAGGCTCTTTGTGTGGCTGTCCTGCAATGTCGCAGCTTCGGGCTCCTCTCCTGCTCCTCTCCTGCTCAGCCAGCACCACCTGCTGATGGGAAGGGAGGGCCCATGTGGTGGGAAGGGATGGATTCCTTCTCCTTTTTGAGTGGAGAAACTCGCTGCTGGGAGCAGAGGTCGCCCAGGGAGGAGCAGGGTATCCCTTGGAAGCCTTTTTCCCATAAAGAGGAGAGAGAACTGACTGCAATAGGTTCAAGAGGTATTGAAACATATTTAACTAGGACTTATGTTTTAAAATACGGAATTTTAATGCATTGGGGGGCCTTCCATCTATGGGTGAGAGATATAATGCATTTAGAGGAGGCTGCAGAAACATGACTGAGAGCTCTTATTTTCGGGCAATTCCAAGATTAAATCGTCTAAAAGTGTTAACGCTTGGTTCCCCCCTTTCCCCGGTGTGCTTTTGTATGTACCCCTGCCCCGCACCCGCCCGCACACGGCCCGGACGGCTCGGTTAGTGCGTTACCGTTCTTCCTTCTCCTCCTCACTAATTTTCACTGTTGTGAAAGTGATTTAGAATTAAAAAAAAAAAAATGGTTTTACATTGACCGGAGTGCGCCGCCGTTCCTTCGGGGGGCCGGGAGCGGCGGGGGCGCGCCTCCCTCAGGGGGCCGGAGGGGCGGGGCCCACCCAGCGCCGCGCCCGCCACGGCACGTGCGGGGCGGGGCCGGGGGGCAGCGCGTGCTGTCATTGGCCGCCAGCGCGGAAGGGGCGGGGCGACCGGGGCGGGGCAGCGCGGGGATTGGCGGGAGCGGCGGGCGGGCGGTGCCGATTGGCCCGCGGGGAGGAGGAGGGCGGGGCGCGGCGCTGCGGGGCCGCGGGAGGCGGGTCCAGGTGCGGCGGGACCCGCTGGCGACGGGCGGGAGCGGGCGGCGGGCGCGGGATGGAGGCGCTGCCAGGTGAGCTCGGGCCGGGCCGGGCCGGGCCGCGCCCCCGCGGGAGGGGCCGCCCTCCGCCACCACGGGCGCGGGGGCGCGGTCACGAGGCCGCGGCTCCCCCCCGGTCCGTTATGCGGGCGCCGGTGCGTCGTTTGTGCCGCGAGGAGGCACCTGCGGGACTCGGCTGGGCCGCTGCCTTCGGAGCCCGCGCCCTGGCCGGGTGTCAGCCCGTGTCCGGATAGCGGGCTGCAGCCGGCCCGTGGTTCCCTTCGCCGGTCCGCGGCTCCACGCGCGGCGCGGGGGGTTCCCGGAGGTCCCGGTGCAGCGAACCCCGCGGGGAAGCGATGGAGGTGCGGCCGCAGCCCGCACGGGGTCCTGCAGCGCGGGTGCCGCCGGCCCGGCTGCCCTCGGCCCCGTGTCCCGCTCGGGGTCCCGCGGTGCCCCCGGGTCTTGGCCGGTGCCCGCCGGGGCCGCTCCTCGCTGGCCGCCCCTCAAACATTCCTGCCGTCCTGGGGGACCCGGCAGGACCTGCTACATTGATTATGTCCGTTTGCCTTTCCTTCGCGCCGTTTCCTGCTCTGTTTTGTTCATTTCCGTCGTTTCTCCTGGATACTGAACAGTATCGGTCGGATTTAGGACTGTTCGTTTCCGTTCTGAGCTAATCGGCCTTCCCAGGGACGCTCAAACAGATGTAGCACCGCAGCAGCGTCAGGCGGCTGCTGCCGGGGCTTGGGAGCTCGTGGGTCAAGTCCTGTGTGATGGTTGTGGAGGAATCTGTTGCTTTTAGTCAGCTGTGGCATAGTCCTCGGTCTTTACAGGACTTTAACGGGATCCGCTGACCACATTGACATGTGTTCCTTGTGCCGGTGGCACTGAAGGGGGAGCGTGGAGCTGCAGGGTGTCTGGTTTGCAGGTGTTTTTGGCCTGCAGCAATTCCACAAGTTCAGCTGACTTACAGGGCTTGCCCTGCTTGGAGAGGAGAGTCTCTGCTGCCTGTACACGCAGGTACACGCACGTGTGGCTTTGCCTTTTATTCCCAAGCCCGTTTGGCGTGCTGAAAAGCAATTTGCTTTATAGAAGAACACGGGTAGTGCCAGCTTTTTCCAAGTTTCTCCTAACCCTTACTCTGCTGTGCAGGTCTGAGCTCAGGTGCAATTCTTGGTGTTCTGGAGAGCAAGAGGGCACAGGGGCAGGTGCTCCCAGGTGTGGAGCCGATGCCCAGTTGGGAACAGAAGTGGCAACTTACACCACATGTCCCGTTTGAATGAATCCTCTGAGCCCTGCAGTCTGCGGGGAGACGTTTCTGGGTGCTGCCAGTCTGCTGGAGAGAGTGGTGCCTGTGGCTGAGCAACAAGTGGTTTTCCTCCTAAATCACTACTTGTGTAAAACATGCAAGATCTTCACCTTGGTTAATTTTAAACATTGTTGTTGACCTACACGGTGGGGTCAAAGTGCATGGAAGGCTGATGGCTTCCGTTTTGTGTAGCTTCAAGGAACTTAATCATGGTATCAACTTGCCTGAGCAACTACCGAGTTGTAATGTTCTTTGGAAAATGGAAGTTCGTGGTTTGTGGTTTTCCTTCTCTAAGTGCACTTTTTTCCTTATGCAGCCCTTAATGCAAGCAAACTGTTGGTAGCAGGAAGAAACAGGTTTGAGATCTGCTCAGCATATGCTCGCTGTGCCCTCCTGTGCTCATCCAGATCCCTGACTCTTTAGTATGCCCGCACTGCTGTTGGGATTTGGGATAGCATTTAGCTGTGTGCCAAATGCTCTTTGTGCACAGGCTTTCATTCTGTTTTCCTAGCTCGCCTGCATCTAAGGAACCAGCTCTGGGGCTTTCTGGCAGTTCTAGCAGAAACTGTTATAACTCTATTATAACTATTTTAAGTATTTTCTGAAAGGGCAATAGGCCAGTAGCATCACTCTCTCTTCCTAAGTCTGGCAGTAGCCTGGCGTTGGCTGTACAGCCTCTACAGGAACATTCATTCAAGTGGGTAATTCCTTCCCGGTAGTCAAGTTGTTCTCTACTGAATAAAGTTTGCCTTTCCTTTCTTTCAGTTCTGGGAAATCCATTTAATTGTACAAATGAGAGCAAACGCTGTGTGCTGAGTCAGTGGTGTGGGGGAAGCAGTAGCGTGGCTTCCTGGCCTAGTGTCGTTCTCTTTGGGAATTGTTGTACTGAAGCAGCCAGCCTTCCTGAAATCTCTGCTTTAGCAGAGCTATAACTGAGCTGGTTTATGTGGAAAGTCATATTGCTTCCTTCTCCAGAATGTGAAGGAGCAGATGTCATGTCTGAAGTAAAAAAAAAGTAATATCTAAGATGTCAGAGTTTGATTTGGGAGCTCCACTCTCATGAGTTACAGACTGCCTGGTGTTGATTTAGCTTTCCAAGTGTGAAGACTTTCCTGCCAGTTAATTAATTTAAGGTTATTCTTTAAGAGGGAGGCAGCATTCCTTGTTTTCTCTGATGTAAACTGGTTGCTGTTTGTCATGTTATCCCTGCATGCAGGTGAAGAAGTCTGGAGATGTCTGGGATGTGGGGACAGCATCGCTGCTGGGCAGCGCCTCTACAAGACTGTCAACGAAGCCTGGCACATCTCCTGCTTTCGGTAGGTAAAGCTTTGGCCTGTTAAACCCTCCTCGTGCTGTTCCACTGGCTTGGGGCCTGGTGCTGAAGTACCTGAGTGAAGTACCAACATAAACCAGGAGCTGTCCCTGTGATCTCTGTGCCTGAGCTGTTCTGAGCCCTTGTTTTCCGATGTCCCTCAGGGACCCGCGTCCGGTCCCAGCATCAGTCAGACACTGCCTGGCAGAGGGCGGCTGTGCTGACGCACACGGGATGAAGTGCAAATAAAAGCTCTGATTTACTGGTGGCAGCAGAAGCCATGGGCTGCACGCTTGCCTTCAGCTGCATTCCAAAGTAGTGCCCAGGCAATTTGCATAGCCTGTTGCTTTGTCCATATGTGGCAGGTGCATGGTGTTATCAGGGTGCTGATACAGGGGAGGGAGGGCAGGGAGATCTTGCCTTTTGCTTTCTCTCCTTTTCAGACACTTAAGACAGACAAACTTATGAAATCTGTTGGATAATGTTGCTATCAGCAAGGAAAAAAGGGATATCTGCCATGGCTTTTTCTGGTGGTAGGAGTAATGCCCCTTATTAGTGTTTCATGAATATTCAGTCCAGTTTTCATGCCCCAGAACCACGTTTCTGAAGAGGCCTGTACTTTTGAGAGGGGTTGACTACCTGCAGCTTCTACTGGCTTCTGTGTTGGCTTGGGTCTGGAGAGGCTAATGTTTTGGATACTGTCAAAGAAAAAGGGGGGAAAGGAAGCCAAAGTGTGGCTTTGGAGGAATGTTTGCTGTGCCAAGATAAGCATCTATTGTCCTGTTTAAAGAACAAAATACCCCAACTTTGTTGAAGTGAGGATTATGGTTATTGGTGTATTTAAAAGAAAGAAAACATCTCATGCTGCCAAAGCAGTACTGGCTCTCTTGATTTGAAAAATGCTGTGAGTTACAATGTGACATTAATAATCACAATTACAGCTTGATGTCTTGACAAATCCCAGTATTTTGGGTTTGAGTGTTCATGTTTAGCTATACTGAGGCAGCTTGTCTTATTCCTGGTTTTCTCTCTAAAGAACTAGTATCCTGTTGTTGAGCTTCCCTAGATTCTGCTAGTAGCCAAACCCAAAGTTGTGTGTGCTGGAAGTCTGTCTTTCTTGGATGTATTTCTCTTGTGGGTCTTGACTTGCAAATGTCTTGGTGCTTCTTGCTCTTGGGGCTGTCAAGGTGGGGAACAGCTGAGCTGGAGGCAAATCCTGCCCTTGGGGCACTTCACAGAGTTTGATATCAGAGGTTATATTACAATATATGTTTGGTGGTTGGTTCTGGGTTGGTTTGTTTTCTGCAAGTGAAGACACCAACTTTCCTCCTGAGCTGTGTAATAACCGTTTGCATTTTCTGAGGCACCTCTTGTGCTCTGTGCTTTTGCCGAGCTCTGGCACCTGGCTCGGCTGCTGTGCTGAAAGAACAGCTGGAATCTGCAGCAAAGGAAGCTGCCCTTCCCTTTTTCCTACTTCCAGGAGAGGACTGTGCACAAAAAGAAGTTTCCAGTTTGCCCTGTGTTCCTCCTTTTCTTCTGTTGTCCCCAGACCATGCTGAGCAGCAGTCTCGTGCTTGATATCCCAAAGCCAAACTTTAGAAAGGCTCTGAGGGAAGGAGCCTTTGGCAGCTGGGAGCTGTGAGTTCCGGCAGCCCTTGTGGAGTGTTTTTTACAGTCTTCCTGTGGATTAGCTGACTCCCTGGCCTGGCACATCATTTCTCTAATGCTGATTGGCACCGCTCCAGGCTCGTTAGCTCTGTTTATTCTTGGTCAGGCTTGGCTCTGGCAGGAGCTGACGTACATCCATGTCTCTGAGGATTTAAGTTTTTGTCACTTCCCTCCTTCCTCCAACTGCCTGTGCAGGAGCTTTGTCTCTGGAACCTGCGTTTTCTCTGCTGTGGCTTGAGGGACGAGCAAATCCCTGTTCGTGTATCTGGGATATTTTAAACTGTTCCTTGGCCAGCTGGTCCTTAGGCTTGAATCTGCTGGGTTGGATCTGGCTGAGGACGTTTCTTAGACGTTTGTGTCACGATGTCTGTTGTGAATTAACTCTGAATGTACTTTTGTGCCTCTGAACTCTGTTGAGACAGCTCACACTTTCAGAGGTCACTGCTTTTCACGGTTCAACTGGATTTGGAAATTGCATTGCACAGAACTTCAAACATTACACAAAGAAAGGGAAGGAGAGAAGTGGCAAAGTACCTTTTTCCTAAGGCTGGATCACTTTTACCTCAGGGGATTATTGGAAGAGCTTTTTTTGGCCCAGAGCTTGCTGATTTTATTGTTTTCAGTCCCAACTTTTTTCCATGTTACGAAATAGAAGGTAATACCCTGAATTATACCTTTGAATAAAGTGTTATTACCAGGTTTTATTTTTGGTGGTTTGTGTTGTTTTTGTTTTCCCACTGTTAATGACAAATGAAAGACAATTCCCACTCTCTGTAGGGATATTGCATATTTGAATTGGAGTAGGATGGGATGAGAAGACCCAGGTGTGGCTGCATGGCTTTATCTTAAGGATACAGTATTTGTTAAAAATCCAGTTTTGATTATTTGAAAACCACAGATTCAGATCCAACCTGTAGACTACATGCAGATGGAAAATGCTTTTGAATACATATGAAGAAAATAATTGGAAATGGTGGTTGGAATTCCTACTGTAGCAGGGTGCTTAACTTTTTTAGGAAGGAAGAGAGCTGAGGTTCAGTTCCTTCCTAACCATGAAATAACAGAGGATGTATATTACCATGGTCTATAAAATAAATCTAATTTAAGTAGCCAAGCAACACAGACTTGCAGCAGAAATCTCAACCAAAAGCCAAACCCTGAAAAACTGTTCACAGTATATATATCTTCAACAAAAGTAACAGAAGGTGATGAATTAATGATGATTTTACAGTTACAGATTTAAAAATATACCAGTTAGTTTATACCAAAACCAGCTAATTAAAAGCTGAAACATCATCAGGAGTCTGAAGAGCAGAAAAGCTCATCTTCCTTTTTTTTTTTTTTTCCCAGAAGAGGAAAGGGAAGCAGAAAAGATTTGTATGAATCCAAAATTTTCCAGTACTAGGTCTAAAGCACTGGAGATGATGGTGAGCAGAAACTAGTAATCCAGTTTGAACAAATATTTCCTTTTTGCTTAATACATCAGATTTTTATGGATATGCAATGCAATGTGACCTCAGGAAAAATTCTCATGGCTTTCTGTTTCCTTATGACATAATTTGTGACTACCTTAAAAGTATAAACAACTGTGTGGCCAAAAGGTGTAAGTTTTTGGTATCTGACTAAATATATATTAAGTATTTTTATACTGGTCACATTTAAGTGATTGTAAGCAGTAAATTGACTTTGCTGTAGAAGATTTTGGCTGAAATTAAATAGCCTTGAAATAGTTAAGAAATTGTTTAAAGTTTAAATTATTGTTTAAATAAAATCTAAAGTAATAACCCAAAATTTCTTTAAGTCACAGCAAAAACTGCCTTATTACCTGGAGTTAAATTAGTTCCCTGACAGGCTGCTTAGGGTTCAGGTGCTTGCACTCTTTTTGGATGTGTTGCTCCATTTCAGTCCCTGTTAACCTTTACTGGGGCAGGAGACTAAAACACAAGGACTGTTGTAACCACCAGAGGGTTGTTCTCTCTGAATGGATACTTTGAAAAAATGGAGCAGTGTTGGCAGAGTGCAGGAGAACTCCTGGCTCTGTCTCCTGCTGCTATTCTTTAGTGAATTTGAAACCAATCCCCCTTTTGACCATTTCTCGGTAGTGGAACAAGGTTAAAAGTAGATTCTTCCCAGAATCCCTCGTCTCTGCAGTGTGACAATTGTCCATGGTCAGAAAACAGCCCTGGATTAGCTCCCTGTGCATCCAGGGGATGCCCTAAGCTCCAGGCTGCTGAGCAGAAAGAGAATCACTATGAATTTGCCAGCTCTGGTGATTTGATTGTCTTACACAGATGCAGTTCTCCTATACTGAATGCCATTTTTTTTCTATACTAAGTGCTATATTTTGTGTGTTACAGAAATATTTGTTTGCTCAGCAAAACTTAGTAAATCACTTTGATTCTTTTTACATTTGGGGGCAGGGGAAGGTAAGCCAGGCAAACTTGTGTTAAGACTGTATATAGTTAAACCTGGTTTAGGGGTGCAGGATAAACTAGATGACTTCTGAGGGTATTTTTTTAAATCTGCGTTCTGTTTTAGTATATCCTCTAACCATGAACTTACATTTGAAGCAAGTAATTTCTGTGGCTTAGGAATGATCAAGAAATTGGTCAGTTAATCTCCAGTCACTGTAGGGTTTGGTCTCCCATACTGTTTACTAGCACTTAATTATCCTCAGTATTAAAACCTTTGGCACAATCTTCAGAAATCCCCTGTGTTGCAATTTAAATCAATTTTTTTCTAGACATGGCCACAGAAAACAAGCTTTTCCCCCTGCTTCTGTTATCCACATAACCTTTTCCAGAAAGCAGCAATCGTGTCTCCCATCAGTCCCTCCCAGACAGAAGAAACCCCGGACTTACTTTTTTCTCCAGATGGTATTTTCTGGACTTTAGATCACTTCTGTTGGTTCAAATTGGCACAGGCCTTCATTTTCCAAAAGCAGCTTCCTGCCCTAAAGACAAATGGATGGATATGAAGCACAAATGTAGAAATGTGGACACGTGAAGATGTAAGCAAAGGTATATATTAAATTAATTTAAATTGTGGGGATGTTTGGTGCTTTGAATCTTCCTTTAGCTTTTCAGCTGTAAGCACAGGGCAGGTTTGTACACAGAGCAGCTGAATTTGAGAGCAGGGCAAAGATCAGTAGTAACAAAAGGCAGCTGAATTAAGGTAGAAGAAGGAAGAAAAGAATCTCCTCCTCTTCCCTGTCTTCTCCAGTTTCTGGCAGTTGCAGAAAGCTAATGACAGGGCCTCAGAGGTGAGAGCTCTCCACTAATCCTGCAGACTCCTGGGAATGCTGCTTTGGTGGTGTCTTCATCAGCATTGAAATTCGCCAGCTCACTATCAGATTCAGGGAGAAATAGTTGCCTCTTAGTGCACAAATCACCAGGACTGTTGAAGAGTTCACAGATTCAAAAGAACAATGAAGCACTTTGCAGGTGGCCACATTCCTCAGGGGAATCTATCAGCTGCAGGACGTCGATGACCACCCTTTATGTTTAAGGAGGAATGGGGCATTCCAATCCAAACTTTCTTTTAGTTTTCTCGGCAGCTTGTCCTTTAGGGCACTGTTATCAGAGCATTATCACATCAAGGTAACTGGAATTACTCACACAGCCCAGACTGTGGTAGGCTTTCCACAGGAGTGAGAGGGGATCCTTCCCCGACGAGTTCAGCATTCTGCACAGACCCAGGAGTGAGGATGCAGTGGTGGAAGTGCCGGTGTTACTGCCATTTGTGCAGAAGTCACTGCTCCCCAAGCCATATATAACCTATGAGGCACCAGTAGGTTGAATTTCTTTGGTTTGCTTCTCAGCCCACACACATTCAGGAGATCTGCAGCCATTGGGTGAGTGTGGTGCAGGTAAAAATCCTGTCTCCACCCTAATGTTGTGTTTAGTGATGTGAGGCACCGAGAAGCCTCACTGTTGTTCTGAAGTTGTGCTGGGGTTAGAAGTAATGCAGTGATGGAGGTGGGCTTCGCTTCGCTGTTTGTTTAATTTACTCAGGATCCCTGGGCAGGAGCTCTGGGAGGTACGTGCAGATCCAAACGAGATTGGTTTCAGGAGCTGACTCTGTCTTTCAACAGCAGCAAAGCACGTGTTACATGTAAGTGCCTTGGAATTGCAGTGAGGTGTTGGGATTGTACTGAAGTATTTGGAATGCCTCCAAACTGCGCCCATGCTGAGAGAAAGGCTGGCTGCAGACTCCTCTTCCCCGGTCCCACACATATCCAAGTGCCTGTCTGTGCCAGGATAAATTTGTGTGTCTTAGGGCTGGTGGATGTGCTGAGCAATACATCTGTTTGCAGACATGCAGGAGCTGTGTGGTAAAGAGGGTGTTGAGAGCTTCAGCCCAACCCCAGCTCCGTTAAGATATACCTGCTATATCACAGTAGCTGTGTGATGCACTTCCGTGGGGATAAATCTAATGCCTGCGACTCAGTTGATGATAAATATCGTGTAAGTCATTGTCGAGGTTTTTCATGTGTTCCTTTTTATTTATTACAGCCCTTCTGGCAAAAGTTACTGCACAATTCTAAACCATAATGAGGAAAACAACTCCCTCCCGTGATTGCAACCTGTTTGTAGTGGAAATGCTGTCAGCGTTTGCGAGAGAGAGAATGCTGATATCTGACTTCACCTGGTGAAAAAGAAATTTGCTTCGGTGCATTGTGGCCCCCCAGAAATGACTTAGAAAAAGTCCTCCCTCCTCACCACCTGTTTATCAGCATTTTTGAAGTACAGTCATTCTGGCAGGAATTCAGATCTAGAATGTAGGAACACATTAACACCTTTTCCAGAGCCCTTTTATCAGAGACATTGTGTTCTCAAATAGGTCATAGAGACAACAGAAAAGGCAAGAAGTAACAAGAGAATTCTGTGTAGCCAAAAGTAACTTACTGGCTGCTGCTGCTGGGGCTTGCTGCAAAAGTAAAATCATTTTGATAAGATGTTTCCTGTTTAAATAGACATTTGACTATGTGTCCTTTGGCTTTAAGGAAGTCTTAAACAAAATCCTTTCCTAGTTGCTTAGCTGTCTGGGTGGTTTTTATTACTTTGAAGTTGGGCTTTATCTGCTGGCTTCATTCACAGACTAGCTGGCTGCTTATCACATCTGTGGATCAAATCTTCAAAGGTTTTGTCTGAGGAGTTGGGATTTATGAGGTCACGTGGAATCCCCCTTGGAGGGCGTTCAGCCCATGGCAGCAGAATTGCGGGGCAAAGCTTTTGTCTGTAGGTGAGGCGGGCGGGGAGGGCCCGGCAGGCGCTGGGGGTCTGTGCGCGGTGGGGAGGTGCCGGTGGCCGGGGAAGCGCTGGATTGCGAGCGCTGGCCCCTTTTCAGCACGCAACATATAGAGAATGTGGGAGACCAGAGCGCATTCCTAGACACAGACTCACCGTGTTGCTGCTTCCAGTCGAGCTGTGTGAAATGTCAGAAGGAATTAGACCCGTGCTGGAACTGCCGAGCACATCGGGCTCTGCAGCACTAGGCTTCACTGCGCTTTTACAGCCGGGCTTACAAACTGCACTCGGGGGGGAAATGGGGACACTTTTTTCCCTTCCGAAAGGTGCCTGCTTATTAAAAGTTAAAAAAAAAAAAGGAAGGGAGGGGGGAATAAAAAAAAAAAAAAAAAAAAAAAGCTGCCTGGCTTTCTGCTTACTTCAACAGTGAGCAGCAGCTGTCAAATCTGCAGCCAAGCCTGCCTCGTTCCAGCCCCAAGCGTCCCTGGAACAGTGTGCCAGCTGAGACGAGCATCTCCAGGAAAAGCACATTGGAGTGCTCTTGCCGCTGGAACTGAGCACGGTTTGCAGGCTCTGTTCAGGCATGCCAGGCTTTGCTGACTGTACAGAAAGGGGCAGGCTCGGTGCAGCAGCACATGTTTGGTGCATTTCTGAGTGTCTTGCGAGCAGCTTTAGCTGATTAGGTCACTAGAGATCATACTTGGCTTCCGACGAGCACAATGATACAACTGTATGTGCTGCGAGCGGGAGAGAGTGCTCTGTGCTGATTTATACCTCAGCTTCCAGTCAGGAGACGAAGATTAGGTTAAAGGATTGTGATGATCTCTGTTAAAACAGTGTTGGAAAGGAAGCTATTTTTCTTTGGCTGCAGCACACTGCGAGTTACCTCCTGCAGGAGGGTGAAGGCATTGTAGGTGCTGTGAAGGCAGTACAACCCCACTCACTGTGCGGGGTTTAGGAATGATTATAGTAAACGTTAATTTGATGTGTTTGGAGATGCGGCTCGTTGTCTTCCTTGGCTTCTCCGTCAGAATGTGCCGCTGCTGCAAAGAGAAGCTTCACGTGTTTGTATCCTTTGGCCAAAGCCGCTCTCTTTCAGCACTGAATACGCAGCCCCTCTTTGGGTCAGAGCTCCACCCCTGTGAAGGAGCAGAGCCTGTTGAGGCTCTGGAGCCGCCGCTGTCCGCCTGCCATGGCTCCTCCTCCCCTCCCACCCTTGGGTGGAACCAGGGAAGGGAAAACTTGACAATAGTTAGAAGGCAGCAGAGCTCGCAGGAACCACTGCAGCAGCATGTCCAACTAGCCCGGTTAGCAGGGATTCTGTCCTTCCCGAGGTGCTGCTGCTGCGGAGTGCGGGAGGAGATGGTTATAGCCATGGGAGCCAGGAAAAGTCTGAAAAGGAATGAGCAGCCGAGAGACCTGGCATTCCTTGGGCAGCTTCAAAGAGAGGTGAAGTATCTGAATCAGCGCAAGAGTAAATGAGCCCTGGCTGCTGCCATGTTGGCAGAACAGAGCTGTTCAGAGGCAGTTGGACGAGTTTGTGGCTGAGCCGGTTTATCCAGTGTTGAAGATGGGAAGTTACTTGTCTGCCCCAGCTTACTTCGCTCCCAAGGATCCCTTTCGGTAAGTGTTGCCCAGGATTAGCGCTGGACCTCCAGAGTGTTGTTTTCCCTCCTGTGATGGAATCCTAAAGCGTCAGTGTGTGAAGAACGAGGTCAGTGCTTGTGTGCCGGGAACAGCCGGCCTCAAACTGGGATCCTGCGTGGCTTTGAGGAGGCAACAGGGGAGATTATTGCTGCCAACCCCTTCCCAGCTCTCGGCTGGAGGGAGCGGCTCCAGAGTGTGTGCAGCCCAGGCAGGCTCCCCCTCAGGGAGCACGAGATGTGCCACTGTGCCCAGTGCCCCGTGCTTTGCTCACTGGCACAGGAATGAGATTACTGTGGCTGCTGCTGCTTCTCTTCCAAAGCTCCTTGTGCCTGGGCACAGCACAGGGTGAGCTGAGGTGCTGCTGTGGGAGTGCAGGAAGGTGATGTAACCTGCAGCGAGGCAGCACATAATCCTGTTTGAGAAAAGAAATCAGGTACTTCTCGGGTAACTAGGGATGAGCAGCACACTTCCCTTACGTGGAAAGGGTTCTTCTGGGATATTTTGGTTTATTCAGTTTTTATTTGTTCTAGGTCCAGTTGAACAAATGAGGCTCGAGAAAGGTGATAGCTCCAGAATAAGGCTTTGATTGCGTTGCATCTCCGTGGTGAGAACAGTTAGTGGGGCTGAACACAGCCGGGCTGGTGACTGATGTGCTGATGAGGTGGATGGATGAGGAAAAGCACAGCTTGCACTTTCATTGTCTTCCTCCTATCCCCTCTGCTCGGATTTGCTTGTTATTGATCCTGTTCTGCAAACACTTTTGTGCTGATTTGGGAGTAAGGAGCCTTTTGTTGAAGCGATCTAGGACAGGAGTAAATATTGGTGTGCATTTGCTGAGCTTCTTTAGGCAACTTTCTGAAACAGCATCTGCTTTCAGAAGAGGGAAAGTGAGCAGACATTCATTATTTGTAATATGTGTAGGGTATTGTGCTAAGCCATAGATACACCTTCTCCTAAGTGTGTGGAAATGGTTTTGCATAGTCAGAGCTTAAACACTCTGTCTTATTCTGTTTTCTAGTATCCGTTCTTCCCTGTCTGGTGTCTCTTAGGTGGGCAGTGCACACACTCCTGCTGAGCCCGGGTGAGCCTTTGGGTCAGCTGCAGGCTGGGGCTGTGCTTTATCCTGCAGCTTTCTGTCTGTGTGACTGTGCTCCCCCAGCTCTGCCGGCAGGATTGGAACCGGGGCTCTCCCGAGCCTGTGTAGCGTTAACTGATCCGGCCTGACAGTGAGCGTGAGGGGGGCATGTTGTTAATGAGCCCTTCTCAAAGGGATCTGTCTCTTCAGTGCCAGGGAAGTCTTTGCTTCCATGAGGGTATTGGCTTTCATCTAGCTGTAAAAGAGATGCCACATCAGTTGAAACCGGGCCGGTTACCTGTTGTGACCTGATCCTCCTGCCACCCCCCCAAAACCGAGAGTCCGTCCAGCAGCGATTTGTGAACTCTTTCTGCACCTGCTGTGCTGCAGATCACCACGACTCAGCACTGCACCCAAATGCTGCCTGGGGTTCCTGGGGGGTGGCTGTGGGAGGCAGATTAATTTATTTTGTATAGCCAAGGCTGGGAAGTGAGGAATCATAATGTCTGGTCTGTATAATGAGAGCAGGGTTCTGCGGCTCTGAAAATGGTGGCTGGGCAGCAAGAGGAAACACGTCAGGTATGGCTGGTACCAGTCCTCCATGAAACTTGATTGCCATGGTTTGTTACTCTGTAATGAGAACAGCAAATCATCGAGGAAAAGATTAGTGGTTTCTAATCTATAAAAGATTAGCATGGAGGAGCATGAAATCTTCCTTTCTTTTGGTCATGGTGACTGGCAAAGGGTAGCTTGCTAAATACTTGCAGCAGTAGTTGTGTTCCTGTCTCAGCTGATGTGACCCCTGCTGCAATGCCACAGCTCTAGTGAGGAGGGAGAGGAAGAAGTTGTATCTCCTGTGATAAAATTCTGACATGATAACATTCAACAATCTCTTCAGTGAGAGCTGTGTGGAACAACCACGTGATGCTTTTATCATTGGGCCGAGGCACTGAAACCATGCCTGTGCTGTCAGCCAGTGTCCCACACCTGTCAAACCTAAAGCCTGTCCTAGGTTCCAGAATGCATGGTAAGTAACAAAGGTGCTGCTTGGCATTGGGGGCTGCAGCCTTGTCCTGTTGCTGGCAGAGATTAAGGATGCAGCCAGTTAGGCCCATTCCCAGCATCCAGCCTCTCTGGGACTCTGTTCCTCTTGCCTCATTGCCCAGGGTGGGGTTCTGAGCCTTAAGCTGCAAACTTGTCCTGCCCAGATTTGTTTAATTACATAGCAAAGAACTGACTGCTTGCTGGCTCCACCTCCTCACCTTCGTTTTGCTATGGGTGTGTTTCACATTAGATACCAGTGCTTATTTCCGGATGGAAGCAAAAAAACCCAAGTGCTGTGAGGTTGAATCAAACCATGGAGAAGTAGAAGAGGTAAAGGAAAGACAAATGCACATAATCCCCTGGAGCCCACCTAAACAGAGTTGAAGTTGTGTTGCTTTTGCAGAAATTTTAGATTTTCTTAGGGAGAAAAAGGGGTGGTTGAAGGTGAAATTGAAGAGGGGCAAGGAAGGGAAAGTGTTGTGCCTAAAAACAAATAAATAACTAACCCACCTGGTTGGAGAGAACTTAGACAGAAAGCCAGGTGTTGAAGTCTTGGTGGAGCAGTCTCCAGCTTTGCTGTCTGCATCCTAAGTGCAGGTCTGGTCACAGCTCCCTGTTGGAAGATGTAATCACTCGTGGAGCACACACTGGTACAGGCATGCATGCAGAAGTTGGATAAGTCTGAGGGATCCAATCTGCCCGTGCTGAGCCAGATGTTCCTGCCACAAGATGATAGAAATCTTTGCTGTTAGTCTCCACTTGCTCTTTCTCCCTCCCACTCACCCCCTTGCTCATTCAGCGAGGGGTATTTACTGCAGATGAAGCCAAAGGCCGGTGGTTGGAGGCAGAATGCACTGCCATGCCCTCTGGGTGTCCTGCATACCATGAGCAGGGTGTAACCACGGCAGTGCCCCCAGGCTGGGGCTGCAGTGATGGATGTACCACCTACAGCAGCCTTGACTTACTGCTCCCTCTGCTGCAGACAAAATTGGCAGGGCCTGTTGCACATGCTGGAGTTCTTTCCCATCACTTGGAGGGGGGTCAGGATTTGATGCTCCTCAGCTGGGAGAGCAAACACTGTATAAGCCAAATATGTTAGAAGGAGTGATCTTCCTGAGGGTAGGGTACGGCACTAAATACTTCATGAGGTGTTTTCCCCTCAAACCAAAGGCTGCTTACGAGCAGCCTTACCCAGTTGCTTTGCAGTCTCTTGAGATGGAGTAAATAACTCTCTCAGTGTTGGAGCCCAACCAGCTTCACATATCATCACGCTCATTACAACTGGTGAAGTTTACTAGGAATGTCTTTGGCACAAATAAGCTTTTGGGAAGCTTGTGAGAGGTGAAGTCAACAGTAGCTCTCATCTTAGCCTGGGAGCATGTAAAAAGTGCACCTCCAGTGCCACCAGTGACTCTGAGTGCACTCAGTGCACTGAGTGCTGAGGGAGGATCCCCATCGACCTAAACCCCCACCCCAGGGTAGTAACTGGGACAGGTGTTGGGGTAAGAGGCAAAAGAAACTCTTCCACCTTTGGGGAAATGACGACATTGATCCTCGAGGTGTTTCTCTGAACTGGTTATTGGTGACTAACCCGCCTGGGATCCGGCTCATGAATGGCCAACACCAGACTTATTTTCCTTTTAAAGTCTGAGAACGTGCTGCCCAGGGCTAATGAATAATCTTTGGTGATGCAACTGCTGTCTGTGCCTTATCTCTGCATTGTGTCACACCTCCCTGCTGCTGAAGAGGCAGGATTACTGTGTGCTCAGGAAGCCTGAACATCTGAGTTCTGCTTGTGATTGCTAAAAGGTATCTGCAGTAGAATTGCTGCATCTTTTTCCTTGTTTCTTTTTTTCTTTTTTTTTGGTTTTTTTTTGGGGGGAGAGTTGTTTGTTTGTTTGTTGAGGAGAAGTAGATAGAGGATTAATAATGGTTGCTTGGAAATAGGAGCTGACACTGATATGTGAAGGATTTTGAGACTCCGTGAAATTAGAGAAACGGTTTTGTTTAGGATTTTTTTCCATTGATTGCCTGTGGTGTTTATTTTCTCATGCACTATGATCAGAAGGGAGCAGTTGGTGGGCAGAGGTGGAGGACTTTTCTCAGAGTTAACTGGTGGGTGCAGTGAGTGTGTGGAGGTCAAGGGACAAACTGCTTTGAAAACTCTCCCTCAAATGCAGAGTGCTGCAGTTTACCTTTTGGGAGAGGTCTGCTTACAGAAGAATGGAAAAGCTCTCGACAAAGGTTGGTGCAAAACTGGCTTTGTGTTGCATAGGGAAGTGGATCCTGCCTCTCTGTGCCCCTTCCTAAACTGGCTGAGGAGACAAGTGCTCTGGCACAAGATTGTTGATGCTACAGAAACACCAAGTAGGAACACAGCAAAGCTGTCTCTGTGCTGGGCAACGCTGTGGCTGGAAACTTGCATCCGGGAAGAGAGAGATCAGAGGAGCAAAATATAAAGCAGAATTTATAAACTTACTGGTGTGTTTTAATGTGTGGGATTTGTTTTACACTTTGGAAGCTTCTTTTCCTTTGTACTGGTGGATTCCACCTCTCCTTACAAATTTCAGGTTTGGGTGTAATTTTCAGCTGAAAGAGCATTGAGAAACAGGAGAGTTTAGTGCATCCATAGCTAGAAGAGCTGCTGGTGAGCTGCTGCTGAATGTCTGTGTCCTCCACCAGGACAGGACCTCTTTTGTTGATTTGTTGCCAAGTGGAACTTTGTTCCTTTGTTTTCTTCAAGGTGCTCTGAATGTCAGGATCCCCTCACTAACTGGTACTACGAGAAGGATGGGAAGCTGTACTGTCACAAAGACTACTGGGGGAAGTTTGGGGAATCTTGCCATGGCTGCTCTCTGCTGATGACTGGACCTGTGATGGTAAGGACAGAAGGATTCCTGCCTGAACTCCTCAAACTTAGTTAGGTGTTGTCCTAGGTATAAAGATAACCAAATAAACTGAAGGTAACAGTCTCCTTGCTTCTCTAGTCAAAGAATAGCAATGGAGACTGTGTGTGCATCTTCTAGATAAAGATTAGTTTTGAATGGGGGAGCTGTGAGGATCTGAAGCATATGAACAAAGAAAGTAAAGTGCTGAAATGCACAGGCTTGAGAAGCAGAAAAGTGATTTGGGGGACATGTGTTCAGTTGCTGTAGCACAGTGAATGCCTCAGTGTTTGCACAGGGTGATTTTCCACTGCACTGTGGAATCAAACCTCTCAGCTCAGGATAAGCAGCAGGTTCTGGTTTTGGGGAATGTTGCCATCCAAGTCCCACCTGGGCTGCAGCCAGAGTGGTTTTTCAGGCTGATGGTGTCTTGAAGTAGTGTTAGCCCCAATTACTTTGGGGCTTGAAGTTGCTTTTGAAGCATTGAACTCTGCCTGCCCAATATGGGGCTCACCTAAATGTTCCCCTCCTGCCACAACCTTGCAAATATTTAACCTATAAAACTGTCAGGAATGAAACATGACCGTTATTTTTCTAGGGCCTAAATAAAAGCAATGTGGTACTTAGTGATACCATTGCTACCTCAAAGGGAAGCACTGAGGAATGTGCAGACAATTTCTCGTTGCCTGCAGAAGTCTTTGCAGAATACTGTCAATAAAGGAAATTCTCATAAGGAAAACAGAAAAACAGATCAATGAGTAAAAATATTCTTTAAAGGTATTTTTTGTCTCAGTCTCAGTTTGCTCTTTCTCTGTCAGCTGGCTGGTAAAGCATCTGAATTTGTGCATTGCCTGTCTGCCAAAAAAAAAAGCCCTTTCAGCTTTATTAATTCAGGCGTAACATTAGTTATCTTGCCAAGAGCAACTGAACAGGAAGGTTTAATACCTTGTTTACTAGTCTCCAGCAGACTATCAACTATTTTTGATAGCTGAGCAGCTGCCAAATATAGCAGAGGTCCCTGGGACACAAGCTTTGCTCTTCGTGCTGACACGTTTGTTTTAGAGTTCTGCAAACAAGGTGCCAAGGATGGGGTTCAGGAAAGACAGAATGGACTAATAAAACTCTCCAGTAAAAACCTGCTACTTGACTTTGAGCTGTGAATGATCTCATTAATTAGAGAGGAAAGCAGGAGCTGCATCTGCTGATGGATTTTGGCCGTGCTTAAGTTACTCCCTTTTCTGTCTGTAGGTGGCTGGCGAATACAAGTATCACCCCGAGTGCTTCGCTTGTATGAGCTGCAAAGTGATCATCGAGGATGGGGACACTTATGCACTGGTGCAACATTCCACTCTCTACTGGTAAGAGGAGCTGCTCCCCGCTGTGTGTAAGCCCTGTTCAGCCAAATGCTACTCTAAGGAATGCCAGGAAGCTGCCTTTTGAGGGAGGGAAGAAGGAATGGTGTAAGCACTAAAAGCTGTGGCTTGTGGTCAGTGAGAGGACTTAGGCGTGAGTTTGGCAGGGAGGGACAGGACACTGCCATGATGACTTTCTTCGCTTTTTTCAGTGGGAAATGCCATAACCAGATCGTGCTGACACCCATGATAGAAAAGCACTCCACGGAGTCCCTGCGGGAGCAGCTGCCCTACACACTGACCCTCATCTCCATGCCCGCGGCCACGGATGGCAAGAGGGGCTTCTCCGTGTCTGTGGAGGGGGGCTGCTCCAGCTATGCCACTGGTGTCCAGGTGAAAGAGTGAGTATGCCCAGGCTGTGTGCAATGTACGTGTCTGTGCAGGGGGAGCTGGTACAGATCCTGCAGCACTGCTGTCCTGAGGGGATCTCGGCGTCGCAGGGACGTCTGTCACCTGTGTTCGGTCTCCATTTCAGTGTCTTTCATCCACCTTAACTGATAATTTTATCTCTCAGTGCTGTCTTCTGCACTGGACACAAGACATTTGGAGGATTGTAATGGACTCACAATTTTGCCATTGGTCATGGAGAGCTCTCTCCAAACCAGCTCAGACCTAAGCACTCGGTCTCGTGGGAGCTCCCTGTGCTGGTAGATTAGCACTGGTTTATTGCAAAAGGCCAATATGAAGGGAAGCTTTTTTTTTATAATTTTGGCTAAACTGAGTTCTCACACACACTGTAATTCCCCTGTTTAGAGTTAACAGGATGCACATCAGCCCAGATGTCCGAAATGCCATCCACCCTGCGGATCGGATCCTGGAGATCAACGGAGCTCCCATTCGCACCTTACAGGTGGAGGAGGTGGGTGGAGTTCTGTCCTGAAGCCTCCTTCTCCTCTGCCTTCCTACACCTTCTCTGTTTCCTGACACTGTTCTCCCGCCCTACACACAGTGTGTACAGCCCTAGCACTCATGCTGACAGTAGGAATAAACATGAGGACAAGCTTTGCCTTCCAGCTGGAGAGGAAAATGTAACAGATGGAAACGCAATTAGGATGCAGGAATGATTTTGTGGCATTCAAATGTAAAGGGAGGCAGTAAGAAAAGTCCAGGGCTGTGAGAGAGGACAGAGAGGCTGTCAAGACTTTCCCATGTACTGCTAGTGAAGTGCACTCTTCTGAGCCTTTGAGAGGCAACTGCTAATTCACAAGGGCCCAGCTGATCATAGGGGGAAGTTTTTGTTGGTGCTGAAGAGAACACAAGGAGCACAAAACATCTCACAGATAAATCTCTGTGTAGCTTTTTCAAAGCTGTTTTTTACAGCACTGTTCAAGGTGGAAACCTGTATAGTTTTTGAACACTTATCAGAAAAAGAAAATCATTTGATAGAGTCATAGAATACCAGGTTGGAAGAGACCTCAAGGATCATCTGGTCCAATCTTTCTTGGCAAAAGGACAGTCCAGAGAGGATGGCTCAGCACCCTGTCCAGCTGAAACATAAAAGTGTCCAATGTTGTGGAATTCACCACTTCTCTGGGGAGATTATTCCAAGGGCTGATTGTTCTCTTTGGGAAAAACTGTCCTTTTGTGTCTAATTGGAATCTCCCCAGGATTAACTTGTACCAGTTACCCCTTGTATTTTCCACGTAACTCCTTGTAAAAAGGGAGTCTCCATCTTCTTTGTAGCCACTCTTTAAATACTGGAACATGGCGATAAGGTCTCCCCTCAGCCTTCTTTTCTCAAGGCTGAACAAACCCCATTCTCTCAGCCTTTTCTCACGTGGCAGCGTCACAGCCCTTTGATTGTCTTTGTGGCCCTTCTTTGGACCCTTTCCAGCCTGTCCACATCTTTTCTGTGTAGGTTACTTGTAGCTGGCCAGAAAGAATTGGGCAGCATAAGGAGCTTCTGTGCTGCTGGTCTGATTTGTCTGGCAGACAGCTGTGGTGCACACAACTAAACCACAACTATGGAGTGACCTCACTGAACTCGCTCCTCTGTTTCCTGAGGGGCACTCTCTGTGTCTCCTCTGTCTCCTGTTGTTTGTGTTCCTCCTGTCTGCTAAAGTGCTGTCCTTTGGTTTGACTTCAGGTGGAGGAATTGATTCGCAAGACCAGCCAGACCCTTCAGCTGCTGATCGAGCACGACCCCGTCTCGCAGCGCCTGGACAGGCTTCGCCTGGACTCCCGCCTGCCCACCCACATAAAGCCACCCCTCTCCCCACGCTCCCTCTCTCCACTGGACATCAAGGAGAACCTGGAAGGAACGCTCCGACGGCGCTCCCTCAGGTGAAGACTTGGAAGCACTGCCTCTGGCCTGGCTTGGCTTTGCCCTGTGCTCCCTGGCTGGGCAGCTCTGTGCCCAGGCCCTGGGACTGCCATGACTGTGGGGACATGGCTTATCTCTGTTGTGGGCAGTGGGATAAATCATTGGAGAAGCCATGGGGAGCTTTGGGTTCTGCTGTTGATGTGTACTCTCTCCATTCCCTTTCAGGATGACAAACTTTCCTTCATAGAAGTAAGGAGCTCTACTGTTAACAGAGAAAAGCTACTAAGTTTCACAGTTAGAAAATGTCAAGTTCAGATTTTTACCAGCCTTAAATGGCTGGGGAAGGATATGTCCTTTAGGGGGAATCTGACTGAGACCTTGTCTTCCTAGAGTAGGGCACTCAGGTGCTCATTTAGTCATTTACCAGTGTTTTAATCTTTGTTTAGAGATAGCAAGTGCTGTGTCTTCACAGTTTCCTTCCCCTTTTCCCAGAGCTCCATCTCTGACTGCCAGTGCAGGAGGTGTGTTGTTGTCAGGCAGCTCTGACTCGGAATCTGCTCTGGGTTCATAAAGAGCTTCCACAGTGCTGGGAGAGCATCTGGTTTTGGGGATGTTAAGAGCACTGAAGGACACATAGAAACTGGTCCCTTAGGAGCGAATGATGGGATGTGTTGGACCAGACATTCCCCAGCAGCTTCCCTGATCCTCCTGTCTTCTTTGTTTTCTAGGCGAAGTAACAGCATCTCCAAGTCTCCTGGCCCCAGCTCTCCAAAGGAGCCGCTCCTGCTGAGCCGTGACATCAGTCGTTCTGAATCCCTGCGCTCCTCTTCCAGCTGCTCCCAGCAAATCTTCCGGCCCTGTGACCTGATTCATGGCGAAGTTCTAGGAAAAGGATTTTTTGGACAGGCTATCAAGGTGAGGAGGTCCCCAGACATTCATCATTTACTTTGATTACAGCAATGCCGGCCTGTCTCAGGATCCTTCACCACTGTCTCAGTGGTGTTTTGTCTTGCTGAGAGTGATTGGTCTTGGATCTTCCCTGGTTTGCTCTGAGATCCGTTTCTATTTCATTCCCTGAGTGTCTCTGGCTGCAGATGGTTTTGACTGTCTCCTCTGAGTGTCAACCTTGGCCACACATGCTCACCTCCTGAGTTAGATTTAGTTCTCCAGAGTGCCTGTGTCACAGCAGCTGCCTGGGTGAGGGAGACAGAATGGGTGACAGGCTACACCTCTTCTTACAAGCATCTTCCTTATGCAGAGGTGCATTCAGCTCTCCTGAGCATTTCTCACCCACCCTCAGTGTGGCAGGCTTGGGCTTTCCCAGGCTGATGTCGTGACCATCTCTGAACTCACAGCAGAGCCTACATATCTTGTCAGTGTGAGGGTAGCGGTCAGGTCTTGCATGACTCTCACAGCTAAATTCTCCATCAATAGCAGCTCTCTTGCATTTAAGCTCTGGGGTCTTGACAGGGTGTGCTCCAGCAATTCCTGTCCCAACATGCCTGGCACCAGGGGGCAGCTTCCTCTGCCTTGTTAAGGTGCTGTGAGCTCCTCAGGACTGAGGATACACACACCATGATATGGGACTTCTCTCCTTACATGCACAAGGGTATAACCTTGAGGTGTCCAGCCACCATGTGCATCTCATGCTTCCATGGGAGGTGATGTGCCAGTTCTACAATCCCACTGCTTTTGATCCATACTAATGAGCATATTTCTCTTCTCCTCTGCTCATAGAGAAATAACAGGGGCAGGTAAGTGGAACCTTTGCTCTGTCGCATGTTTTTGTCACCTGTGTCCCCACAGTTACTGGCACAAAGGCATTTCTTTTCTGCTCAAACTGCCCCATGGCCATCCTGTTCAGGTGCATGCTCTGGGAGTTAAAACTGCCCCCCTGGAGGTTCATGATGACACTTGTTTCAGTTTTGCTGGTATGTCAGCTTAAGAATTCCACTTAGCCTTGTCTTTGTCTCTTCACTGCCCTTTTTCTTTGGGTTTTAGATGTCTCTGGCTTTTGTGTCCCTGGCTGAAATGTGTGGTGTTCCCTGGCTCGCTGCCTGTGTATGGATGCTTGATTTCAGATGGGAGCAGAAGAATATTGTACTCTTGCTTCTGTTGTGTTATTCCATGTTATTCCACACTCACATTCCACCTATACCAGCCTTGTTATATTCCATGGTTCCAAACAGAATTAGTGTTTGCAAGAGCTCATAAGCTTCCTAAATGCTGCAACAGGGTCTTGTGTTCTGGATTGCAGTTCTGGAGGTTTTCTGAAAGGCTTTTTATTTTAAAGGGTAGGAGGCAAAAAAAGTGACACTTTTCTTAAGCTTCAGATTGACTGGGTTTGATGCAGCAAGTACTATAGCTGGTCAAAAAGGTTCCTCCTGTTCCTAGAGACAAGGTGGTTGTTTAGTTCCCTGGAGATCTTAGGGAGACAGAGCTGTCCAAGTTAAGCAACTGAAGGGGAGAGGATGTCCAGGAGAATGTGCTCATTGGAATTTGGACCCTTTCTACTCACTCAGGCACCTCATGCAAGCAAGGCTGAGCTGGTTAAAAACCCTCTAGAACACAGCAAAATGCCAGGAACTAACTGGAGACAGGCAAACAAGTTCTCGAGGAACTGGAAGTGCTTTCCATGTCAAGAGCCAGGAAACTTTTTACCTTATTATTATGGTGGATCTTCTTGTGTTTGCCACCATCTGGGGACATTCCTTGTAGGCAGCAGGACACTGTTCCAGAGGAGCAAGGTAAAATAACTGCTTCCTGCCTGAACAGCCTGTGCATCCCAGTTCTGCTTGCACGTGGATGAGTTTGAGATTCCCCATAAAACCAAAGCATGTGTAAGGTAGTTTTGGGTTCTTTGGTTTGGTATCTGATGCAAGTGAACGTTGATTCCTGTGCTGATACAGAATGGAGTTGTTGGGGTCTGTGTACAAGATATGAGCACCATGGTGGGCAAATGCTTCCCAAAGGGAACTTGAGGATTGCACCAGTGTGGAACTGGTGCCTCCAGAGGCTTTGGCAGCCTGTGTGCATGCTCAGCACTGTGCTACCCAGAAGAGGCTTCAGCTCTGGTTCTTGGCATGATCCTCTGTCAGCTTTAGGTAGTTTCTCTTTCACAAACAGAATCTGCTGAATTCCAAAAGGAGAAATTTCATGCAGGTTTGAGCAGATCCCTGGCCTCTGAATTTTCTCCCACCTCTGTTCCTCCTCTCTGGATGGAGGGGAATGTTACCTTCTCTTTCAGAAGAGATGCAGGAGCATTGGAATTGTGTATGCTTGAACCTTGCCTGTAGTTGTGGGTTTTCTTTCCACCAGGTGACTCACAAAGCAACGGGAAAGGTGATGGTGATGAAGGAGCTGATTCGCTGTGATGAGGAAACGCAGAAGACTTTCTTGACAGAGGTAGGAGCAAGACTTCAAAAAGGCTTCTGAGCCTGTAGTGTGGTGGAACTCTCTTCCATCTTCTTCAGAGAGAGAGAGAATCAAGGTGCTGAGGTGGGAGACACTGCAGGGGGAAAAGCTGCCACGAGCTGAATGTTTGCTGCAGTGAAGTGTGACTCACACTGAGCAATAGACGTGGCTTCAACTCCCAGTTCATTAATTTTTCAGTGATAAAAAGCAGCCCAAGTCTGAGGCAAATTGAGCTGTGCAGTACATAAAGGATTTATCCCTTGAGCCTTGTGCATAAATACAAAGCATCAGGGCCAATATCTATAAGATATTTAAGACTCTCACTGTATTTAAGCTAAACTATCTTCTTGGTGGTGCCTACGATGTTTTTCAAAGTCAGATTTAGCTTAAAGGCAGCTCCCTAAGCACCTGACACTGCCCTGACACCTGCAGTACAGAGCTGAGAGCTGCCTTGGAGAGCTCCTGGCTCTGAAAAGTTAGCCCAACTCAAGGGTGCTCTCCTTAATGATTAAGATCAGGTTAAAAGCACAGTGTGAAAATGAAGAGGCAACACTTAACTGACTGCCTTGAGGTTGGGGGTTGAGTGTTCTCTGTGATCTCTGGAGGGGACCTTCAGCACTGGAGAGCTTGTCAGCACAGAACAACCTGTTGGAACTTGTTCCATTCACTCTTTGGGGTGGGATGTCTCTGTCTCCAGGTGAAAGTGATGCGCAGCCTGGACCATCCCAACGTGCTCAAGTTCATTGGGGTGCTGTACAAGGACAAGAAGCTGAACCTGCTCACCGAGTACATCGAGGGGGGCACACTGAAGGACTTCCTCCGCAGTGCAGTGAGTTGGGATTCCTGGGAGAGCTGTACTCCATGAGCCTGACTGGGGGGTTGGTTATACCAGGCTGATCTGCTTGTGGTAAAGCTGCTTCTTAGCTGTGGGTGGGTCTGAGGCAGGAAAGCTGTTCTTTCCGGGGCTGTATGGTGTCTGTGACTGCTGTAAGAGCCCCTGGTGTGGAGGCATTGCTGTCACCAGCTGGCTGGTAAGATAGTACTGACCACTGAGGACTTATCTTTCAGGACCCATTTCCCTGGCAGCAGAAGGTCAGCTTTGCCAAAGGGATTGCCTCTGGAATGGTGAGTTGGGCTGTTCCTTTGTCACAGAGCAAACCCCCGGGGTCAGGGTGAGCAGCTTCAGCAGGGTGGTGTATGAGGGGATGTGCCAACCTGGCAACCCCTAACACCAGCTTTTCTCCCTCTCTTCCAGGCTTACTTGCACTCCATGTGCATCATTCACAGAGACCTGAATTCACACAATTGCCTGATCAAGTTGGTGAGCTACACCTCTGTTCCCACAGCTTGCTGCTCCTCTCCTTGGCATCTTCCTCCCTTAGTTTTCTCTGCTTGATGCTTCCTCTTTTGTCAGGGTGGAACTGATTTCAGAGAGGCTTCTAGTGCCCTAAACAAGGGAGCTTCATCTTGACACAGGGTTCTCCAGACTGATCTGGATTTCACTGTTTCTGTGTTCTGTTCTCTTACTCCCTTTCCCCTGGTAGCAGCTCCTGTAACAGTCATCAGAGTTAGTACAGCTCTGTTCCTTATCTCCACTATGAGATGTTCTCTACAGCTGCTTCTGTTCTTTTAACCACTTGATGACTTTTTTATTGGCACTCAGGATTCAGACAAGTGTGTGGGGGTGGGCACATGTGTGTGCTCTCTCTTTTTGAAATGCTGGGTCACAGGAGTTTTATATGGCTTCATTCCCTCAAACCTTGCCCTTGTTCACTTGGCTGGGATAGGAGATTAGCATGTGGGTGAAAAAAACAACTGAGGGTGAAAGCCCAAGTTAATTCTTGGCCAGGTAGAAGAGGAAGCTCTGAAAGGAAAGGTCCAGGTTTGCCCTGGCAAGTGTAACCACATTGAAGGGATAAGTGTTAATGACTACAGGGGAAATAAAGCAATGAAGGGAGGAAATGATGGGTTGGGATTGTGAATTGGGTATCTCACACCTGTCTACACATCTTGTATGTTCATCTGGCTGCAGGAGAGCTGGAATAGCTGCCCTTACAGTGTAGTTGGAAGCGAACAGGAATTGCAGCCTCTTTGCTCCCGAGAGGAGCTGAGTGTAATCAGTGGGCTGTACTCAATCCCTTGTGCAGGATAAGACAGTGGTGGTGGCCGACTTCGGTCTGTCTCGGCTGATTGTGGAGGAAAGGAAAAAGCCCACTCTGGAGAAACCCTCGGCCAAGAAGCGAACCCTGCGCAAGAGCGACAGGAAGAAGCGCTACACGGTGGTGGGGAACCCGTACTGGATGGCCCCAGAGATGCTCAATGGTAAGATCCCAGAGCAGGAGCAGGTGAGGAGACAGCTGTGACAGGGTACAGGGATGACAGGATTACTGAAAGCTTCCGGCCCCAGTAACAATCAAACCTATTAGAGCCTGTGATTTTAGACCTGCTAATGTGGAAGCTTATTTATACACACAGATGCTGTAGCTGCAGTAGCTGACCTGGTAAACCTTTGTGCCAGCCCAGGTAATGTTTCTGGCTTGACAACAGGATTCTTCAGGAGGGCAACGGATGTAAGCTTCCTATAATCCAGATAACAGAGAAAACAAAAGAGGCCTGAGATAAGACTGAACCTGAGATCAATTGCTGTTACAGCCTCATGTTTTGGAACTGCCCTGGAAACAGGGCATCGTTAAACTCCAGGATGAGGCTGTTGTGTAGATCCAGGGAGAAGCCATCTGCTGCCAGGTTTGCAGAAGCCTCAGGATTGAGGTGGGAGTTGTCCAAGTGCAGGGAAATCAGGGTTTTGGCACACAGCCCTCAGCTGCATTAAGGTTGAGCAGTGACCCTTAGGAAAAGCTGCTCCTGCAGGAGTGGAGGTGAGGGAATGCAATGGACACAATTTCCTCCTGATGAGCAGGTCTGTCTGATCAGGCTGGGCAGTTTGGCTGGCTGGGGTATCAGCACTGTCCAGCATAGTCCAGCAGGGAAGGGATGACTGGGCTCTTCTCCCACAGCTCAGTTCTTCTCCCTGTTGCTTTCTTGTGCGCTGTTCTGTTCACCTTCTCTCAAGGCCTGAGAGCCTTGGAGAGCCCGGGAGTCTGGGGCTGTTTCTCAGAGCCTGTCTCAGTCCTGGCATTTGTCAGAACAGCAAGAGCATAGTCTGACATCACCTCTGTTTACCAGATACTGGCTTGGGCGGGGTGTGTCTGTAAGCAGAGCATGGCAGGCTGGAGCCTGCCTGCTTTCCCGGGATCAAAGTGCTGCCGGTGTGTAATTTATTATCCCTGCAGTCACTGCAGAGGGACTCGGCACTCGCTGCCTGCTGCGGAAGCTGAGCACTGACTGTGCACTGTGGAGATGCATTAGAACAGCAGTCAAGGGGGATGGACAAAAGCTTCCCACAGTTATCCTTAGCATTTGCTCAGAGCCGATACACAGGTCTGTACAACACACTTCCCCTGTTGTCCTGTAATTCCCCAGGCTAAGAAAGAAGCAGGGCTAAAATCTGCGATGGCAGTGTATGGGAAGGTGCAGTTGGTATGTACATATCTTGGGGTGACTCACCCTGCTCAGAGTTAAGCCTTTGCTTTGTCACCTATTTTAGGGCCCTCCAGGGAATAGGCTTAGATAAACTTTGCACTGGCAGCTCCTGGAATAGCTGGATGGGCAACTGTCTCTTACAGAGCTGACTGTCTTATGTTTCCTGCAGGACAGAGCTACGATGAGATGGTGGACATCTTTTCATTTGGGATTGTTCTCTGTGAGGTAAGAAATTTGGGATTGTTCTCTGTGACATGGCATTTTTCATGGCCCTTTTCCCCACTGCCATCTCCTTGCACACATGGTATCAGTGAGGTCTCTGTGTTCTGAGTGTGCAGTCTGTGACCTAACAGCACATTATTAGTGGGAATTAGTGGGAGAACAAGTGTACCCTGCCTCTGTTTCCTCAAGGGAAAGAACTGTCTTGTAGTTTTTTGGTCCCAGTTTCTTCCTGGACTGAAAGAAGTGCAGAGGTTCCTCCTGGACTGAGAGAAGCTGTAAAAAAGTCATCAAGTTCTGACTGAGCCCTGGTATCCATTTGAAAGTACTCCCCAGAACTGTGGTACTTTTTTTCTTTTTCTACTGCCTCATTGAGAGAACAATCATCTGCATAATCTCAGCAAATTCAGGGCCTCCACTGGGGATGGCACTTCACTTCAAAGGAAGGGAAGCAGAAACCTCTTTGCAGGTCGATTAATGAAGCTGCCCCTTGAAGTCTGTGGGCTTAGTTTATCTCTGAGCCAATGCACATTCTGACTGTTCCATCAGGTTTTCTGTCTGCAGAACAATAAGCACCACTTGAAAGCCACGAGGTATTTTCAATTTAAAAGGTGTGTATGGCAGTGGAAATACAGATGAAAGGCAGGGTGTTATGTGTGACACAGCAGTTACAGGAACACCAGGGGATGCCAGCACAGTTTCATCTTCAGCGTTTGGATGAAGGAGACAAAGCAAATGTCTGTGCATAAATCTTTGTGGCCTCATCTGGAGCTCTGTTTACACTGGGCCCTCCTCTCAGAGAATGTTGTGGTTGTGAGTGATAGATTTAGGAACTTGAAAAATCTGTATGTGGGATTAAAACAATTGTTTCATTCAGGAAAAAAAAGACAAATAAAGGGGTAGGAGCACATGAACGTTTTCTTTGTCCCCAAAACAACAATGCTAAAAAAAAAAGCCCTACACTCAGATAAGGAAATAACCCTGCCAAAACACATTCTGGGTGTGCCACTGTCTCGTTACAGGATGTGGTTGCCCTGCTGTGAGTTATTGGCATAGAAAAGCCTGAGTGGGTATAAATAACACCCTTTTTGTGATAGCGGATGAGGCTTTAAACCTAATGCTCTGTCCATGTGAAAGTTTGTATTGACACTGACCTTGTGAGTCCAGATCACCCCAGAGCTCTGCTCTGGGCTCCTTCCCTCTAGTACACTGTGAATGCCCTCGTGCTGGAGGTGGTGAGTTCTGGGGGGTGGAATGGTGGTGCAGGGTCTGTTGATCACCTGCAGTCATGAGGGGCTGCATCATCTCCAGCAGTGAGGCTCCCTGGAGGGGCACATCATCCTGTGTTTTCTGGCAGAGAGACCCTGGGCAGAAGGAGAAGGGGTCTGGGCCTCCAGTGGCTCCATTGGAAAGGAGGAAC